CATAAGAAGTAACACCTCAGCGAAAGCAAAAGCTCAATCTGCCGTTTTGGCTCAACTACCAATCTCAGATTACTTGATCCCAAATGGCAGATTGCGTGCAGCATTGAATGATCAATATACACCCATGCCTACCAAACTCAACACATACATAAAAAGAGAAAATATAATCGATCAGAATCTGAAATATTAAGAATTCTAGATCTAAAATTTATATATTCGAAAGCCCCCGTGCCGAAGCCAAAATGAAAATAGAGTCTACCTTTTATCTTTTTCTAATTCAATATTGAATAGTAAAATGATATTTCAGAAATTTCGGGATATCAGAATTTAAAATGAATCTTCAAATTCCGGTTCCCTCAAATCTTAGAATTTCGTGATTTTTTGAAATTTCGGTATTTGAAAATTATGTTGTCTAAAATTCTTTTAATCGGGGAAATCCGGAATTTGAAGATTCTGATATTATTCCTAAAATATATTTCAATCATTCTTCAATATTTATAATGTATATTATTTGACAAATATTTTTTTGCATCATTTTTTTTTTCATCCCGTTGCGGCTTGTCGCGATCCGGAGAAACCAGAATCCTTTCTACTTGCCCCTGCGGGGTGCCGTGAGGAGACAGCGTATTTTCGAGCAAACCTTCTATTTGCAGAGGTGCAAGTAGTGGGCACAATGTTGAACGTCGACCGTAAGTAGACGGACACGGTCGGGCCGATATCCAGCCTAGGTTCTAAAGTTTCGGTACCCAGTTGACTCTAGAATTCCTGCGTGTCCTTCGTACTTGTATCAAGGAGAGTATTGATTGTGAGCCTCTTAGAGGCTGTAGGAAATCGCACCAGCTAAAGTCATAGCATCCGCAGGGCTGAGAGGTTGTAATGACTGGCATCACGTATCCTATCCTGATCTACAACATGCCATCTAAGAATCTAAGCTTACTTCTTGGCCCTGTTAACGCGGTCCCTTAAACGATTTGCAAATCAGCAGCCGAAGCTTTGATTGACTTTCCACCCCCTCGAAATACAAACAATCCGGTAGATGGTTTCTCATGGCAAGTTTTGAGGGTGGCGGATGACCAGGGAAGCTGTGCCGTCTGCGGCACACTTCTGCTTGGCAGTTGTAGCCTGGGTCCTGGGAAATTCGGCATGCACCTAGAAAATCTGTTGGCCTAGCCCGACTTTGAGGGCGGTGGACGTGTAAAGACCACCCCGGCGGAAGAGTGTCATGTGTCAGCCCTAGGCTGGCGCTGGCAAATCCTGAAAACACAGGTGAAACAACCGTGGCTGTACTCTGGCACTGCTGAGCCTCAAGAGAAAGCCCACACACACAGCCACGCCATTCTGCTAGTGAATCTCACGCCACACGCACCATTTGCAAGCCTAGAGCTAGGAGCCGCTCGCAGCAGGGATCAAGCCGAACCTCTTGACAAGAAGCCAAACCTGCATGTCAAATGTTCTCCACAAGTCTCCACCAGCACTTGCGAATAGTCGGCCAGGCTAGCAAAAAAGAAACCTTCACTATTCATAAAAACTCTTCTCAAAGACATCAAACAGGCTCAGTCAAAACAGGCGGCCAGGATGGCCTGCTAGAACTTCTTCCAGGCCTGCAACATGTGCTTGATCCAGACTGCTCATGGTTCTGGAACTGGCTCTCTTGAACCACACGAGTGAGTGGTTTTCAATCATCTGTTAACGGTGGCACAAGCGTAGGGTGACAGGCCTGCTACCGAAGGGTGAGCATCCTCCGGGCTCAGCACTGTCTGAGCGGCCGAAACGGAGCAGACGTTGCGTTGCCTGCTCCATCCACACTACAGCGTCAGCTTTACCGAAGCAAATCTTGTGCTGGCATGCCCCGCTTGCAATGCTAATGCTCAGGATGGTAAGCTTTTCTGATTGCTTGCACCACGTCATTGTCGTCCCAGGTGCCTTGTCTAACTCCTTCATGTCCAGATTGCTTACAATCTTGACCTGTGCATCCTGTGAACTGACCTCAGCGATGACTGCAACAGACTGCTGGTGCTGCCGGAGCAAGCGTTGCAGTCCTTGCAAAAAGCAGCCCCACACAAGTGTACCACAGGTGCGCACCAGAAGCATACTTGAAAACAAGGATTACGAGTTGCAAGGATGACAACCTTGATGAGGCGCGAGCCCTACAAAGGACATAGTTGATGTCTGGTCGGGGTTCCAGAATTGCTGACACCTGCCATCACAGGCAATTTCGCTTCCGCCTCCGTCAATGATTTGGTGACGCTATCCTCACTCTTCACTGCACACCCGCATCGTCGAGCCTGCATCTCCTTCAGAATGTCAATACGCACCTGGATGCTAGCAGCTGACGACAACATACGTCCCCTGCTTCCGGGCAGTCATTTTAAATCGGGACTTGCCATACTTGCCATCAGCAAGCATCGCAAGAGCTCGCGTAGTTCGTTTATTCTTTGCATTGTGCTGCAAGTGGAGGAGTACTCTTCACGAAACATCAATTTCCCCTTGCATCCAGATGCATGCAGCCAACCAAGACTCCAAACGGCGAACAAGGGCAGAAAAAAGAACCTGTTAGGAAAGGCATCCACCCAGAAGTATGGCAGGAACTCCCACTTGTCGATTCGTGCGGCCTTCACACTCCTGAAACCAACCTGCAACACACACACACACAACAGTACAAGCTTGCAGTAAGTGTTAAGAGTTTCACATGGAACACCCTGCCGCGCACCTGTGCTTGAAAGCTTCCAGCGGCGGACAACACATGGACGCATACGCAGACGCATGTACGTCATCGTGGTTCACAGCTGCTCTCGTTGTTGATCCCGTGCTTGCTTAGACACAAGCAGACGGGCTTAAACGGTTATGGCATCAGGGAACTTATACTTCTTGACGCGATGTCAGTCTTGCCCTGCAATGATTTCACGAATAGCCGGAAGGAAAAGACTCCACAGCAGCTGTTTACTAGCACAGTCCCTCTCAAGAGTCCAGAGCGCAACGGACCACGTGGAGGGGCCGGTCGGCCTAAAGAAGCCCGTGCAAGAAGGACTCCTTTCCTGGGGGCGGCTTAAAGCCTATCAGCTTCAATTCTGAACAAGTCTTGCCACACTATTCTTCGGCTCTGCGCAAAAGAAAGGTAGTTGGTCCTCTTCTTAGGTCCTTGTTGGAATCTAACTCAGGGAAGCGGTGCAGACATCGACCGCTGAGACTTTGCAAAAACGAGTGGCCAGGCAGGGCAAGACGCCAAGATTGCTGGCCAAAAATGCCACGCTTGTCTGGGAGCTGGGCCAGAATCGTTTTGTCACAATCCTCCTGGTTCTTCGACCTAGGCTTGTGCAGCGTTTGCAGAATAGATCCGTTGGGCCCTCGGTATGGGACAGGCTGCTAACAACAAGCAAAGCAACAGCCAGCACACTGCTGCACAGCTAAACTGGCAACCTCACCGCTACCCGCTACCCATGGTGAAGCGCACAAGGAGGGGCAAACAGCTACTGTTGCGCGTCAAGCTGCAGTGGCCACAGAGATCTTGCTTGTCGAAAGATCTCCGCCATGACAATCAGGGCACCAGCAGGGTCCTGTTTCTTTCGCTTTTTGGTTGTGCTTTCGTTCTTGAAGCTGGAAAGCATTCTCAGGCGTCTCCATGTGTTCTTGTGCGTGTCCTGCTTGCCAGCTTTCTGCATCAACGCAGGTGCATAGTAGACCTGAGGGCCACCAGTGCGTGCTGCAACTTCTGCGAAAACTCAACGAGATACTGTCGGCAGATGCTTCAGAGCATGCATTGAGGGTTCGACCAGTATTGCAGGACCGCCCACCTCCTAGCAAACCAGATGGCCGTACAAGCATGTGTCAGAAGCATACAGTTCTTTACCATGCACATGAAAGCAACCTGGAAACATGACAAAACAAGTCCCCACGTTGGTAGGCATCAGAGTCACTGCGCTCCTTGTAGCTGTCACGCTTAAACTTCTGGTTTGAGCACCCCGTGATCGCAAGCTCCTGGATCGCAAGGTTAACAGCCAAAAAACAATCTATTTGGAAAAGCTCTGCTGGGTCTTGGCTCCATTATGCTAGTGGCATCTTTTGGATCAAAAGCTCTGCTGTGCGTTCGCATGAACAAATCTGGGACAGCCCACCTGGCCCAAGATTTGCTGGTCTGATTTCTTCAGGCCACTGAATTGCCTGGAGGAGATGCGCTTCTCGGTCGCTTGAATACTGAAGAAGTTGAATGCTCGCTTGCCTGAGCACCTCGTGGTTGTCACCCTGGGCCATGAGAACCTGGCAAGCGAATCAGCTTCAGGAGATATTCAGGCGACTTGGTGCCAGTGAGAAACGGGAAATCACTTTGCTTCCGAGACGCCAATCGCATCTTGGCAATGGCGCCGAAGCCAGTGGGAGCAGGGCCAAGCCGCTGCTCCATATTACCCCACCGCCACACCAAGTACTCCTGGCAGAAATGGGGGCATGCGGAAATTGTAAGGCTCGTGTCTTTCTCTGGTGACAAGTAACTGATAGTACCCACCATCAAAACATCAGGTCTCCTCAAACACTTCTGTCTCTGTCTTTGGGCCCAGATTCCAGACCTTGGCTGCGCTTGGCTGCACAAGTTGGAGCTGCACAGGCATGCAGATTGCCTGTCAACAGTTGCAGTCTTCAGCCCGACCTAGCAACACCTCATATCACTTCACAGCCCAATCGGCTTGTGGCTAGAAATTCCACTGCAAGTAACGTTTTCTGTGTTTTCTGTGTGTCCGTCTCGGTTTATGGTGCAGATTGTCCTCTGCCTAAAGGTGTCCACCAAAGGGACACGAACAAGTTGGCTTCAAAAGTCAGAGTTGTTCACTGTACAGAACAAAGCTGCAGGCAGTGCGACATCCTGCATACTTTGCCACGTTGAGCAGTCTGATTTGTTCATAGCCGTGACCGCAGTTCGTCTCCAGACACCGCCAGAACACCATTGTCCGTGGGGCTTCTAGTGCTGATCTGGCGCGCCTTTAGAGGTCTCTCTGCCAGTCGCAAAGAAGTACTGTGCTGCTGCGGTCGGCCTGCGGCTCGTCGACGGTAAGTCAGCTCAACCGTTGCACCAATGCTCTGGCCGTCCACCGCGGCCAGGACATCATCCGTAGTCGTGACTTTTTTGCCATTCATAGTCAAGATCTCGTCTCCTAGCTGTATGCCCTGGGTGGTCTGATAGGTAGGTTTAAGACCTGCCTGGTCCGCCGGACTTCCCGGCTCGAGCTTCAGAATGAGTGGTCCCTCCAAGGGCTTCTGCCTTTGGCGTACCATTTGCCGGGACAGCTGCTGGTTCATATGATCAGGGAGCAGGTATAAGCCGAGGTATGGCTGCTTTGCAAAGCCATACTTGATGATCTGCTCCACAACTCTTTTCACAGCGTCCACTGGAATCGCGAAGCCTACTCCTGCAAAAGCGCCCGAAGGACTTGCAATCATGGTGTTTACACCAATCAGTCGGCCTTTCGCATCCAGCAGCGGGCCACCGCTGTTCCCTGGGTTGATGGCCGCATCGGTCTGAACCAGACCACGCATCATGCGACCGCCGATGCCACCTGACAGATGTCTGAGCCTATGCATACCACAGTGAAGGCAAGAAGCCTTTGCTTTGTGGGCAAGTGAAAACACAACTTGCTTCTTTGCTGCCGCGTGACGCATCTCACGGCCCAGTCCGCTTACGATGCCACTTGTCAGAGTTTGGTCTAGTCCAAAGGGGTTGCCAATGGCAAAAACCTTCTGTCCTACCTGCAGATGGCTAGATGTGCCTTTGCTCAGGGCATCAATCTGGAGCCCATCACGATTTTCAAATTTCAGCACGGCCAAATCGAAATCTGGCTCGGCTCCCACCAGAAATGCGTCGCGAGATGTGTGGTCAGAAAAAATGATGGTTGCCTTGTCTGCATCTTTGATGACATGAAAGTTCGTCACCACATGCTCGGAATCCCACATGAACCCACTTCCAGTTCCTTGAGGGATATCTTGTATGTCCAGCTCCATGCCCCCCCACGCACCTGGAACTAAGCCCTTTTCTTTCACAAAGGTATTGATGTGGACAACTGAACCGCTACAGCGCTCAAAAAGCGAAATCGTCCTCTGCTCATCCTCAGACAGGTCGTGATTTCGATCATCGGCCTTTACCTCACCCCGAGTGGCGTTCACTACCAAGGCTGCCGCACCTGATGCGACAACTAAGCCCAGGCCAGCCTGGTCTACATAAAACGATTTGAAAATCCTGGACCTTGTTTGGTTGTCACACTTCACACGGCTCCAAGACGCCAGTCTGCGTGATGCAGTCGCACTGGAACCAATGGCATCTGTCAAAGTGGCATTAATGGCAGGACGAAATGAGCTCATCGCAAATCTTCTGGCTCCTGTTGCTGCCCTGCGGGCAATCTGACGGCAGCGATGCATATGTGGCTGCTCTAAGCGCACTTTCTCCAGCCAACACGCTTCAAGGGCCGGCCAACAGAAGTCTTCCTCTAAACTCCAATCCCAGACTCCCTTTCCCGAAGTACTGTTGCTGAGGCTGCAGCCACAGCAAATGAATCGATAAAGCTGCTGAGGACTTGCTGCGGAAACTTCAGCACGAACTTTTCGCAGCCTTTTTGACAACGCAGGAGCTTGGATGCAAATGAAGGGCACCAGCAAAGTTATGGCGTGTCTGTAACGGCCCTAGCCTTTGATGGCAAGCTATGGCTCATGGCTATCACGGCGATCACGGCGGGCCTTGGAGGGGAAAGGCTTCTGCGCCTGCCAGATCCGCGAACCTCGAAACAGTTGAAAACGATTTCAAGGAAGTCGAGCCCAATTCGCTTGTGAAGGCTTCTTGGGACATGCTGCGTGAGCATCACAAGGGGCGGACCAGTGAACAAAGTAGAAGGCGATGTTACTGGCCTCAATATGACGGAGGCCGCTGCAATTCATCCTAGGTTAGTAGACTGGCACTGCCTCAGCAAACTTCGCAAGCCCATCTGTACGAATCCATCTCAGCAGTGGGCAGATTTTTGGTCGGAAGCAGCTCCAGCCAAAACAACCTTGCGGAAGGCCTTGAACAATGCCTGCAGCCGTGCGTAAAAGCATCTATGCACGTCCACATGTTTGTATTGAACTTCTTACACGACCGGCGCGCATCCAAGTCAGTTGCGGAAACAAAATCATGAAAGATCATGCCCGTCATGCCCTGATGGAAGGCCCGCACTCCAGGTGGAGCTTCTGCTTGCACAAGCCAGCCTTGCAAATTAAACTGGTAGCATAGGGCCATGTAGCAACTTAAGTCACCTGGCTGCGCGTGTAAGCCCCGTGCCCATGTTGTAGTCCAACTTGCAGTGGGTGAACCTTGCTTGCAAGGCGATTGTGCAACCAAGCCAGCGTATGCGAGCCTAACGGCCTTCACGATTGCTAGAGTCGGTACATATACGCGCTTCCCCCTCTGCACGTTTGCACTCAAGGCTGGGCAGGTGCTGGCCGAGCTGCCTGATGCTCTCCTGCATTTCAGGAGAAAGCCCCGCAAAAGAAGGCAGCGCTTGAGGGCATCGTTCGAGCACCTGTCCGAATAGGTGGTACCATGCCAGGATCATCATGTCGTGCCCAGGTTCATGCGCTGCAGTATAACTTAGCTGAAGGCATAGCTCAGTGCCACATCGTGGTCACCGATGGGCTCGCCGTTCTTATAGCCCGCAAACCTGTGCCATGACAACACTGGAAGCGACGTGTCTTTGGAAGGGCATTCAGCAGATGCCATGCTCATCCAACCATGCCATGTCCGAGGATGAGGCTCTCCTATCCCAACAATTGGGCGGAGGATGTCGAGCTTCATGACATCATGCACGGTCATCAACACAAGCCTAAAGGCAAAGCGGTAACCCGATCTATCACAATCTTGCACAAAACTTTTGCGTGAACAAGCGAACATCAACAACTAACAAGGGCTGGTACCGCTACAGCCCACTTACTTTTTATCAAAAAATGCGCCGCGCAGTACAAGGATACTGGAGATGCTTGGCAACACAAGGTGCCGAGGAGCATTGCCAGGGTTCTCTCGACATCATGCGGGCCACCAGCCTGAAGGCAAGGCCGATGATGCTGCTGTGTGGGCAGGAAATAATGCGAGAAGTGCGACAAATCATGTTGGAAACTGTACATGACTCAAACAGAACCACATAGCCTGGTTCATGCAAGTGTTTCCTAACTATGCCCCGTCGACTACATGAAAGTTGAATGGCCCAAAACATCCAACCTTCTTCAGCAAGCCGGCCCCAACCTCAACAAGCAAAGTTGGCTGTTACTGTTGGGCCTTCCAAACGAGCTGCTGCCACGAGACATGTCTGATTTACGCAACTGTATTGCTGGGCTCTTGGCAAAAAGGCCTTCAATTGCGGCCCAGTCAGTCTTCTCGTAAAAACTTTTGCGCCTCTTGTACTCTACCTGCCAACAGAGCCACAGCAAGCCAAACTGACTTCAGCAAACGCAGCACAGTATCGCTCAACTTGCTAAACTCCACTCCTAACGTATATGTGCAGAATCCGCTTAATCATACTGCCGACATCCCTATCCCTAGCTGGACCCATGCGTTCAACCAACAAACCTAGGACAACCTCCCAGGCACCTCCAGCTCTGGCTCCTTCAAAAGACGATGATAGCATTGTCAAAGGGTTCACGAATTTCCCGAATAAGGAGAATCAAATCGAAAAACGCTTACATGGCGAATCTTTTGGAATATGTAAGGATTTTGACCTCGATAATGGAGAATCAAAAACAACCTGGGAAAAACATGGAAGTCGGGATTCTATAGTGGCTTGTAGGTTGATTAGGGTTTGAAATGACTTGGGATCCGGTTTGCGGAGCTCCCTTTTCTGAGGGTCGTGGCATTTTGGTGCCTAGATTGGGGTTCCCCTATTTGTGGAACTCCCATACAGCACCATTGGGAGGAGACATAGGAAGTCGAGAGATTTATGATTGGTGAGTGGATTAACAACGAGTGCATACCACAATCCAGCAATGAAATGGAAACACCACCCACAAATAGTCACTCAGTATGCAATGACATGGAAGTAGCAACAATCCCAGAGTAGCAATGCAGCGGCAGTGGCAATAACAGTAATACGTAGACAGGCACTAGACATTTCACCAACAGATTCAATCTTAGTCCAACAGTAGGGGCAGGTCGGCAAGGCATCCTTGGCATTCCTTGGCCATACATGCGCTGATCGTGGCTAGGGGAGGTTGACACCCGTGTATGTTGCGAGATGCTGTCCTGGAAGTGAGACCTGTTGCGTGGCTTCCAGTCTGTGTCCAGCCCGAAGCAGAAAGACTCCTAGTCACGTTGGCAAACTTGTGTACATGCTGGCTGGGAACCTGCCAGGCTATAGCAGCTATAGCAGGACATGGCATACATGGCGGCTTCCCACATTTCACAGCGGTCCTTTCCATCCAGATGCATTCGCATCAGCCAGAAGATGCAGAAGAGAGCTCCAATGGTACGCTGGTATTCATCATCACCTGGACGCGACATCGGGCATCATGGAAGACTGAAGAAGCGCGAAGTGCACGGCGAGCCTGTTCGGCTGGCAGAAGTAGTAAGGGTAGAGATTGATGGTAGCAGCACTCGGCCATCCCCGTGGGGTGCAGTCTCCCGAACAACCTGATGCAGAGCAGCTTATAATCGATGCACGCCAGCGAATTGCAACTCAACACTTGTAAGTAGTAAGTAGCTCACGCAGTACAAGCGCAGCTCCGGAAAAGCCGCCACCAAGTCACTGTAAAAGTCCTCCGCAAGACAAGATTAGGCAGACAAGCGCAAAGAACTGTGCGGCTCGAAGCACCTTGGTGGTGTAGTTCGCGCTGCGTATCTGCTCGGCAGCTCGGCCTGGCACCAAGCCCAGGAAAAGAGAGTCATCATGATCATCACCATCATCATCAGTGGCAGCAATGCCGACGCGGAATCAATTCGACCCCGCATTGCCGCTGCAATCGTTGTGCAGAACTGCTGCGAGTAGCGTGACGGTTCCCCTGTGATTCCTTTCATTCGTCACCCTATTTGGCCAACAAATACAGTTCTCGTTCCCAGCAACAGGCAACGTGCCTGGATCATAGATGACGAAGCTTTTTTGCAACTACTGAGTCCCGCACGGGCTCTTGCCCAATCCGTGGCCTTTCCATCCATGACCTCGAGTGAGCGCCGCATCATCAAACATCCATGCCATGATGAGGGGCCCTCCACACTCGATTCCAACATGAAGCATCCGAGCACACAGCCCGCATGATCAGCAGCTCATCCTTGCCACCTGAACACGTTGCTTTGTTCGACGAGCCCGCGCGAATAGCTTGCGCACGCCAGCATCCCGGAAGAGCAGCAAAAAAAACGAGGCTGCCAGGCCAAGTGATCTAGCATGAGACTGTAATTTGAGAATCATAAGCGACGAACTCACAGGCAAAGGCTCTGGAGGTACCACCTGGCAGAACATCGGTTGAGTAGCAATCATGCGCAAGTCTAGCGCCTGAACCAAAAGCCATGTTGCTTGAGAAAGTCTATATGTGCAACAGTTTGTAGCAGGCCTGCTTCTTGCTCTTGTCAAGCTGCATTGCCAGAGAAGCTTGATCTTTGTTGGCATCATAGTGGCTAGGCCTGCCAATGGCACAAGCACAATGCTCCACACAGCAGTCACGCGGCTTCTTATCTTCGATTTTTCCACGTGCCTTGAAAGGCCTTTGCGGGACTCATACCTTAGATCGTGTCAACAATGCAAGGCGAAGTAGACCCGCAATAGCGATGCGGAAAACCTTGTATCTAACAGGCTTCTGTGTTTTTCCTCCCCTACAGCACTGTCCGCACTTCTCTCCGAGGCCCGACACAAACAAAGATGCACAGACAACAACATCATGCAGCTTGGGTGCTCTATCTCCGTAGCATTCGTCCAGCCCCACCTGGCATCCGTCCATGGGATATAAACGGACTTGCACACCTGCATGTCATGTGGTTCAAGGGCTCTTGCTTACAAAGTCCAGCTGACTTGTGCAGGCTTGTTGTTTTCATGGCAGGGACTTGCGTGAGGCAATGCCCTTTCACAGGCATAGAATAGACGGCCGATCTTGACTTCAGATCCTCCTTCTCGGCTTTGTGCTTGGAGTACTCCGCCGGACTCCGCCCACATCTGCAAAGTTAACGTCAAGGTTCAAGGTATGCCCACTGCAACACGGACTTCCAGACTTGATGAAGTCTTCGCCGCATTGGTGGGAGAGTCGCGCCAGCATGTGTCGCATCGCCTGCCTACACCTGTCCACAACAACAGATGTCACTTTGCCAAGGTGTTCTCGTACACGTGATCGCACAGCTGATTGTGCCAGAAACTGAACACTGCCTGAAGCTCGGCTGGCAGTGTGCCCGCGACATTTCGCTTGCCGGCGTCTGCAAATGACCGAAAGCGACCCCAAGCCCACGGGCAGGGATCCGGGCAAAATAAAATCTGTCTGCAGCACTGTCGCCCAACCCTGCAGCTGCCAAACAAAGAGATCCATACCCACTGATCCAAATCAGCAATGCATGAATCATGATCGAGCTGGTACACATGCGAGTGACAGCACCACCTTGAGACTCCTGCTACAACTGGACAATACCTGGGTAAGTCAACTTGTGGCCAGATACCGCATGAGATGCTGCAAGTACAGGTACAATATGTGGCTTTGTGAATCCATCAGCTCAAGTCTGCCGGAAGCAAAGAACAAAACGCTGGTGTTTGCTGCTTACTTACGAGCAAGAACTCCGTTGGGCTGACTGCAGGTTCCCCCACAGACATCAGGAGGCACAAGACCGCTCCAGTCACCAGTCGGTCATTCCGCTGCCGATACCACGAAGCAGGAGCATGCCAGCATGCGAAATATTCTGAACTTTTGAGACATTCCGTCACACAAAGACACACGAAGTGCTTTGAGATCGACTAAAAAAAGGCACGAGACACGCACAGGCATTGCCTTTCAAACGCAAGCCCTGCCAAAGCAACCTGAAATATTCTCACATGGCGCTCTCGAACCCATGTGCTTGGCTTGTGCATCTGCGTAGCAATTGCATAACGAAGCAATATCTCAAGTCAACCTTCAATCATACCGTGCCTGGTAAGGACCATGTCGTACTCACCGGTAGCAAGCTGCTCCTATCAATGTTTATCACAGTCAAGTGTGCGATGAAACTGGTCGCTAACAAGCATTTGCATGGATATCGTCCAAATAAGTCTGTGGTCCTGCCGGCAGAAAGTGAAATCCTCTGCTGACGGCAAGCCAATGTATTGCCATCGCTGGTCCTGCCACAATGGCCCAGTGCCGCTATTCAAAAAGCAGCTTACCCGCCACATGTGTTCATCTGGTGTGGTGGTCCTGTGGGTTCAAAACCTCACAGCGAACCTCAATGATGGTGTACACCGTCTTCAAGCCAGGAAAGCTGACGGAGAACTCAACCTGCAGAAAAAGGCGTCTGATGCATCTGCTCCGCGGAGGCCTGGTCCACTGATGCGTTTAGATGGAGATGGCCCCATGCCAGGGACAAGTTTCCTTTCCCAGGAGGCACCTGCTCTGGTGTTGTCCTTCAGGTTTCTGATCATGTCGAAGTTTTGGGGCGTGGTGGTCCAGATTGATTGCTGGTCAGCTCGCAGGTTCTCGCAGGACCCGGAGCTCCCACCACAGCGTTTTAGCACTTTTACTTCCAACTCCCCAACCTTCTTGTTTCCCCTCATGTTCCCCTGGACATCCCGCACCTCTCCGCCAAGGCCACACTTGCGCCAGCGATCAAATCACGCACTACGCGTGAGCTACCAACGCCCCGTGTGCAACGTCTCGCCGGCCTCCTCTCGCGTCTCTGAGTTGGTCACGCTGAGCAGTTCCTGCTGCTGCTGCTCTGGAATGCCGAGGCGAAGGAAGAGCGCCTGGAGCCAGCATAAAGTGATAGCTGCATTGTGAGTTGGCGTGCGCTGCACCTGACTCACTCACAGCAGGGATGGGTGTGGTCGAAAATGACGGGCAAGGATGATGATTGTGACTTTGGTCTCTGCAGCTTATCACGCATCAGCTGCCTGGAACTACGGAAGTGATACCAGTCACGGATTACTTCACAGGACCAGCTATTCAGTGAGCTAGCATTCCAAGAGCTTTCTGCGTGTGAGCAGCACATGACAACAAATCTGCCTCACTCACAGCATCTGCCCATTGCTGCATAGCCCGCATGCGCATAGATAGGGTTCTGATGCTGCGGATGTTCTGCACGCGTCCTGGCACAGAGGATCCCCCAAATTTGTGGGCAAGAGCGCGGGGCCACAGACATCATCATCATACTTTCAGTAGCGAAAATCACGGCATGACTTGACCAATTGCAGGATCAAGAAGAAAGAGCGCTGTGGTAACGATCATGATACCAGTAGCGACACACATAGTCAAAGTCAGCTGACTTACGTGTCTGAGACGGAAGCATCAGACGCGATTCTGACAGAAAGCCTTGCTGCTGCTTGGTCTTGATGATCAGCACATGCCTTGGATTGAGAGCCAATATTGCGCTGCAAGTGGCCCACAAGTGGTCCAAGCAGGAGTACTGAAGCGGCTGCAGCAGCTAGCAGCTAGCAGCAGCCGCGATCATGTGACAACTTTGATCTTCCTTCTCTGCGGTTTCACAGGCACACTTGCCGAGATACTTCTGGCTGAGCAAATTTGCTTCAAGCCAGACCTTCACAACCCTCACCTTGCGCACCAGCTGTCCATCGACAATCTGGATGGTAGATAAGGACTTCTCGTAGACCTGCACAGCAACTCCTCACCCCTCACCTCCAAGGCATCCAAGGCCTGCCTCTGAGTAGAGTTCCACAAAGCTCTGCCAAGTAAATTCCGACACATCAATACCTGGCTGGGGCAAAGGCAAAGGCATTCGTGGCTAGCATTATCGCGGAGTTTCTTACTTGTGCGTTCGCCCAAAGAAAATCGTCAACCCAGCCCCTTCCATTCCCCATGCTTGCCCAGTCTATCCCCATTGCACGCCAAGTCAGGTACGGCTGCCTTTACATGAGAGTGTCAGAAGTTACTGGCTGGCACATAGAGAGCAGCATATCAGCATGCTCTTTCACACGCTCATAGCTTTGGATACCACACATGCCCGCGCCGCCGTGTTGAGAAAGGAGCTGCATAAGCTCGTCTTCTTTGTCATTCGTTACCTGGATCTTTCAAAGGGCGAGCTGCTTCTTGCTTGTACAAACCAATTACATCAGCGCTGTGCTGGGGGCCCTGCAGGTGCCCATGTCCACCTGCGCAGCAGGAATGTGAAGCCCGTACAGAAATAGCCCAAATGATCCCATATGTGCACCTCGTCTGGCCGTTTTCTGTGCTGAAATCCTGCACGTCTCAAGCCATTTTGCTTCCTACTTTGGCCCAATGCAAACTTAGTAGCCACAACTGCGTCTGGTCTCCAGTGACCTTTTTGGAGATCCAATGCAGAAATCACGACGTTTCCAGACATCCCAGTCGGCTACTTGCCCCGTCCTTTCCAGCTGGCAAGCCCAAGTTGGCTAGCTCTTTTCGCGTCTTATCCTGCACGAAACGTTAGCTGTAAAAAGACAACTGTTTAAACACCGCGCTAAACTCAAGCCTTGATGGTCACAACCACGTTGTGGGTCTTGTACGTGGTGAGCATGTCTGGGACGGTTTCCGACTCTGCTGTGTACTCTTCGTACTTGTACGCCTTGGCAAGTGACATCAGGCCTTGCGGCATCATAAACAGAACAAAGCGAACTTGCGGGCCCCAGACTAGCACGCTGGTTCGACCTACCTGACCTCTGGGCTGAACAGACACTGTGCACAGCCTTTTCGCACGGCACCAGCGAATGGCGAAGGAGTCTTCAGAACCCAGAGGACTGCTCCTTCTCCTTCTGCGCAAGGATCTTGTCTGCCTGCCAGGGTGACAAGGGGCTGAGAACTAAAAAGCCCCTGCTAGAGGTCACGGCAACCAGGGTATGCATGAAGGAAGCTCGCCACTGTTGCAGCAACCAGGCCTTCTCAAGCAGTTCTGATAATCCTTCTTTCGAACCCAGCTCCGCAAGCTCTAAGGGAATTTGGTGGAAGTTCTCGAGTTTGCTGCGGCATTCCGCTTCGCTACGCACGACTCGCAGCTCTGGGGTTACACCTGATTGAGCGGGACTCTCTGTGAGCTCGTCCCAGTCAAACAGACAGGCATCTGTTGTCGGGCCCCATGGGGATATGTCCACGAGCCAAACGCGTCGCCGTGGAGGTACGTCCACATATATGTCAAAAACATACTTCTTGAGGCTGAAGCGACTGCGCACTTTCTGCTCGAAGAAGTCTGCGATAGCGGTTTGGATAGATCCAATCTCTTCAGCGTTCACCAAATGCTCAAAAAAGTAGCCTGTCTGGCGCTGAGAGATTGCAACTAGCTGCTCATCTTTGACAAAGACTCTGAATTCACTGGACTCGTGGAGCTCGTGCCAGCGGCGCAGGACCAAGGTGAAGGCATCCGGGCGCCTGCGTGAGTTATTTCCACAATGATCGAACGCATGGCATAAGTCATGTGAAACGAAGTCCGAAGCTTTTAGCAAGGTGAAGACGTCTGCTGGGGAGCTGCACTTCAAGCTGCCTTGCATCCACTGGGCGTCCTTTGGAGCGCTCCAATTCAGCTTAGGGAGGACATGTCCGTTCAGTCGGGAGATGGCAGATCCAACAGCCTGCTCAAGCTCAGGGAAATCAAAAACTCCCTCAGAATCTTGGCACTCTTCATCAGATTCACCGCCGGAGCCCCAGCTCCCAGAGCTGGCTCCATCCGAGTCTACCCGCTTGGACACCGGAACATGTATGCCGTCAGCCATAAGGTATCTGACAAAATCTTCCGATACGGGGATGATCTCGCTCTTGAAGGTCACATCTTTGAACCTGGTCTTGCAGGGGAGGTGTCGACACAATTAAATGAAACAAGCATCTGTCGGAAAGCAAGTCTGCGTGCTGCACCCAAGCAACGTCGGAAACCAGGAAGCAAATTGGCAAGCTAGAACTTCGTCTTCTGACATTTCTGTCTCAACCTTCCCGCGCTCCGGTTCCCCAGGTTCATGGCTGTCCGTGGTCATCGCGACTAGCAACTGGGGATGGTGTGTATGCGCATGCACTCGCGTGGATCATTCTTCCTAGTAAGGAGCTGTCGCCATGCCCCTGCAGGTACGTGCTACAATATCTCATCGCTGCCAAAATGGGGGGGAGGGGGGCGGGGGGCAAGCAACCAGTTTGCTCTGTGGCACCTGTTGTTTCTTGCGCACATTCACGCTGAATCCATGTGCTGACATGCTAGCTACCCTTCCTGGCAAAGAGATACTGCGGATGCAGAATTCAATGCAACCTGCCAAGGAGTATGTGCTTAACCCCCTGACTTGATCAAACTTGACCATACACTGAAACTCATCAGCACAAAGGAAGCCATGCAAGCTTCAGCCAAAGCACGTCTTTCGCGATGTGGAAGAGACCGTCTTGGGCCTCAGCAACGATCAGGCGGCCCCGCGTTGTCCAGGTACTCGTAAAGCACAGCGGTGTTATCCACGTCAATGAAAAAATTGGCCAATGACTTATAAGGCCACTCCTGATCAAGTCATACTAGTCGTTTGAAAGGGATAGGCGATCTTCCCGTCTCGTTGCGCATAATCAAGCAGTACTTAGTCAAGCAGAACGTAATTGCCCAGCCGATGGCTTCGAGAAGCGATCCCAAGAGCCATCAAAACTGAGGCTTCTGCAGCCTGCGGTATGGCAAATTTGATGTCAAAACACCGCTCCAGCGCCTAGCAAAAAGAGAGCAAACCCCAAAGACTTGAGAGGTTGAAATTCGTGTGGGTTAGCCTGGGTTAGCAGTAGGGGGCGCACCTATCAGCCTGTAATCATGTTAGACGAGAAAGTCTTTGCTGTCATCCTCTTGGCTAATGATGCCCCCAAGCCCGAACAAGGCTTCTCGCTTCCTCACACATGAGAGAACTTACAGCATCAGACAACATCATACAGAAAACCTCCAGGTCAAATCATTTCGTCGTGGAGGTCGACACCGCTGCCGCTGACAACTAACACCTCTTCTAAGCAAAGAGCCCAAGTTCTGCAAGTCATCATTTTCCAGCGACCTAGAACCAGCTTGTAATGTAGACGTCATGCATGCCTACAAAAGACAAGTTCTAGATGTCGAGACTCGGGTCCTGTTTCAAACTCTAGCTTGCTCAGAAAAACTTACGACATCAGCTACAGTCAATAGTTCCGAAATAATTCATGGACATGTGTGCCAATTAGGGAATATAGTCGTGACAATACTTAAATACTCTTAAACTTGACCCTTGCTGACCATGCTGTGTTCCCTCGTGTCGGGAGCACAACCTTCAGCGTGAGCTCCGCAAGTACCCTCAGCGAGCCTCCTTCCAGCTGCCCCGATCCTTCAGCCTCATGACCTGATTCAAAAAATCTTGGAGACAACATCCTCTCCTGTGGCAACGCAGAGCCAGCTCAGCACCGTGCCATGGCCAAAAGCTGATTCCGTTCACGTTCTTTGCCTGAATCAGAGATCCTCGGCACAAGCTGCGTTCTTGCGTGTTCAACCCTGGCAGCATGCTGGACTTGGGCTACCACTCTGTCTTTATCCTGAGCTCCTGCAGCCTGCCGTCATCATTGCGAAAGCCTTGGCGTTTGAAACACATAGAAATGCTCGACTGGCATTTCCAGAATCCCATGCGATGAGATGAGCCCGTGCAGCTACTGCCACCAAGCAACGCAAGTGAACCCGGACAAGTTCAACGAAACGTTGCAGGGCATTGCCCCGGAGCTGCAAAAAGCACCTGAAGAGCAGATTGAGATGCACCAGCCTGAGGCAGTGGAAAACCTCACCCCTTGACAGCCGAGGCTACAGGAGGCTCCGCTGAGCTGCACGCTTTTCTTCGATTACCACGGAGTCGAAAAATTTCTGCAATTGCTTCATGTTCCCCTGTTGGCAGGACTTCGAGTTTGGAAGCAACAACTCCAGCTGGGGTAGGCTTGAAGGATCGAAAATCTCGTGCCTTGCCAAATTTGGACAAGTCCACATGATGTTGTTGTAGCAGGTCTTTGAACTCTTCATAAGACCTACAAGTCAGGTGAGTTCCTGCAAACCTCTGTCAGCTGCCTAGGGCGATGTGTGCAATCAAGGCGCATTCGGTTCGCTTGGTCCTGCCAGACATGTCTGGATTATCCCCATGTCCTTGTGCTATAGTTCGCGTTAAGGCTCGTGTCCTTAGCCTGGCTGTCATCGACGAGGCTGAGAAGAGGCCGTGACTCTTCTATGCCAGTCTGCTCGTTTGGGTCTGTCACCTGCTTTTACATGCGCGGACGCTTCCCTAGCCCTAGTCATGTGGCGCCTTGGTGTTCACTGCGTCGCTCTCAAATGCTCTCCGGAAACTAGAAACCATGATCTTCAAATATCTTCAGCCTCTGTGAAAGCGTCCAGGTAGTACCTGTTTTGACCTGAAGCCGACGATGTTGACAGGCCACGACCACTTCGCTGAAAAACACAAGCCACTCCACCTAGATCTATACTACCACAGAGACGGCACACAGTAATGCCCACAATGATATCGAAAGCCTTCAAAAGACGCCGAGTGAACATTAAGCCATTCGTTAAACGCGCCTGAGTTTCCACTCAAATGCTAAATGGCTGCTGGAGATCATCTGGGGAGCCAGCTACCCAGGATCAAAGGAATAAATCTCAGAGCACTCAGCTGCTGCTTTGCTTCAGTGGACAAGTGGACCATGCCCTCTTGCCTCACAATTTGCCAGGCTTCACATCCTCCCCAGAGCCAATCCCAGCATCGTGCCTGGAGGCATCAGCCAGCTGCCGAGCGCCTACGAAGCGCTGCCGTTAAGAACTCACGCAATCCACTGCAACTCAGCACCAGCCTGCGCAAACGGGCCCGAAAAATGCACGGCTGTCGTTGCTGTTCTGCACGGACCTCGGCTATGCAAAGCATTTGCTGGTGCCTGAGAACCTTTAGCCGATCTGCCCCCTTAGACAACATGTCGATGTAAGCACATTAGGATCCTGGCAGCAGTCCATTGACACTGTACAGTATTCCAAAGTCAACCTTGGCTCAACATCATGACCTCTCGCGTGTGCCATCGCGGAATTCCCATGAGGAGAAAAAACTCTGCTGAAGTAAAGAATGCTTTAAATCGCCAAGATCTGGACCCCCACAAGGAGACCTATCGATGGTGACTGTGACAGCGCCCACCTCGAGGAGTCCCAGACTGCATACACTAGTCCGTCAGAGGCCGGCTTTAGCCGCGCCTACACAGTAGTTGACCCATGCGGGTCATTGCGTCAGGCGCGTTCCTCAGCAAGGTGCAACGTGGCCAGTTGGGAGAAGAGAGTCCAGGGAATTCAACACAAATGCTGGCCGCTGAGGCTTGCGCATACTTGCACCTTCTACGCCGCTTCCCATTATGAGGCCTTGCTAGATCCAGACACAGAATGCAAAACAGCTTAAACCTCAGCAGAAGCGCTTATGCAGGAAGCAAAGCACACTATGTATGTCATTGTCCGGGGTGCCGCTGGTCGCATCATCCACCAGCATGTGGGCTTCAAAATAAGAAAGATGACTTCCGATCTGAGCACAAACAAGCCAATGCAAGTCTCTGCGACACCAGATCCGCTTAGCAGCAACTGAGAGCCCAGCTTGCTCGTGCAGCTTCTGCAGCTGATCCACTTTGATGGTGAACTTGGCAAAGGCCGTAAGTGACAAGACTGGGCTTGAACCAGGGACTGTCCAAATACTGCTCCATCTTATCCGCATGTAGCGGCATTGCTTCCCGCATGCAAAGCGCAGCATGCCTGCAACTAAAACCAACCCAGTGATGTAGACCAGTTGCAGCAGTGTGAACACCAAGCCTTCGGACATTTGCATCAGCAAGACTTGACATGCAATATCTCGCGTTGCTTCAGGTCACCCAGTCAACTGGTTCAAGTGAACAGTACTTGCGAGCTGCCTCCAAGCAAGGCAACACGTTGGCGAGCCAACAGCTTCTGCCTGAAACAAGTCATAGATTCATAGGTTCGACCGCATGTCATCCTCCGCGCCCTTTACTGCCACCTGAACTGACAAGTCGTACTCGTTCGAGCGGCCGCACACCATGCCTGTGGCAAAAACTGGTAGGCTGTCAAGTCTGGGACTTTAGGGGAAGATGTGTCTCGTTTACTTGGCACAAGCTTCATTCATCTGATGCATCTCGCATTATGCTGGGACCGCAGCTTTGCATGTCGCTGCTTCCTCCCAAGCCCAAACAGCATTTGCCGCCGAACCTGAGGTTGCTCTCGCGACATCTTTGCCTCACTGGTGCAACGGTCTGGGGCATCCGCAGTCCAGATCCCTGCGAGTTGCCCATTGCAGCTCCTGCAAGACGTCAGAACACACAAAGCCTGTTCTTTGTTTGGATGGATGCCGCCCAGGTACTGCGCTGGATGCGACGATTCTGCCTATTGCAACATGCAGGCTATGCAGGCTGGCTGTCTACAAAACGAAAGGTCTGGTTTGGTCTCGACTTTTATTGCTGAGGGTAAGCTAAGGCTGTATTGCTGGTAAGACGTAATGTCCCAGCGTCTGCTTGATCTGGATGGCCTCTGTCCTGTTAAAAAGATTGGGCACTCTTGCTCACAGGTTTGAGCCTGGGCTGCCACTGCGAAGACGGCATGCTCACGATGAACTACAAGCAACATGTCTTATGTGCCTGATGCACCTAGAAATGTGTAGCTGATCCTCCTGAGACTTAGGAGGGAGCATTCGGGACCAGCTTTAACAATCAGCATCTCGATCCGCACACTAAATGTTGATAGTGGCTCATGCCGTTCGAGGCCAGGGCGGTATTAACGTTCGAGGCCGCATCCATCAAAGCATGTCAGAACAGCGCGTTTCACTCCAGCATTTGTTTTGTCTCTTTTTACCTGTGCTGGTTGACTTTCGCATCTGGCCTTGGCCGACGATGTCTTGCAACAGTTTGACATCTGAGTGTTCCTGGCAGCTGGGCATCTCGCTTCTGTGCAATGACGGCCCAGCAGCAGATCGCCTGAGCGAGAAGCAACAAAGGTGCTGCCTGCAGGCGTCATGCAGTGTGTGCACTGAGGCCCGACGAAGCATCTTTCGCCTTGGGATTGCCAACCACTACGCAGAGGCGTTTGGCTGCAAAGTTGCACATGACATGTTTCACAAGTCCAATGGGGCCCTCCACGGCCCTCGAAAAATGCCACTGGGCATTTCACACGGGCACGCGCGCTAATTACCACGGCTGGTCACCGAGAGGCTTGAAGGAATTTTGCACGCTAGGACCGCTAGGCCCCTGTAAAAAAAAAGAAGAACAAAGAGGGGCAAGTGGTTCGTGCAGGTGCTAAGGGTTTGGGGCTCGTGCTGGAAATTCGCCCACCTACCCCGTTGCACATGACATGTTTCACGGGTCCAGTGGAGTTCTCCGCAGCGGAAAGCGAAGCCGCAGCCAAATATCTGACGAGAGCACCGAACCCCACCCAACGCCAACGCAATCGACAGGACCTTCTCAAAGCTATCAAATAACCCAGGATGCAGCAATAGACCACGCATGCCGCGCACAGAGAAAGCCAAATGCTCTACAGCTGCCGCGCCATCTTTGGATGGCTCCAAATCACTTGGCCAGGGCATCTGGCCTCCGTAACTCCAACGAGGCCCTCCAATCGCCAAAGCTTTCTCTGTGGCGAATCCCTTGGATGACGCACAAACCAAACCCATGTTGTGGCACAGTTGTCGCACAACCAGGCAACCAACACCAGCTATGAGGCTAACTGTCCGCCGCAGCAAAAACCATGCAAACGAGGGCATGCTTGGTAGGTTTTGCCTGTTAAGCTGATAGGAGAACCGCTGGATACCAGCATGCTCCGGAGCTGAAAGCAGTCCGTCAGGAAGCCACTGGCCGCCTACGCCGGCTACCTCGCCAGACGCGGAAGCGTCTGCTGCGAGGGTGGTGTTGCCATGCGGACGAAAAAAATGACGACCCATCTCTCATCGAGAGAAGGCTGAATAGATGGAGCTCCCCACTCGCCAAACTTGACCCAAGCCCGGCCATTCCTCAGCCGCAGCCCTTGCCCGAGTTCTGGCACACTCTCCACTACTCGCCTATCATACTCCAGGCCATGCCAAATGGCTGCACACGCCCGACAAATTGAGCGAGCGGCTGTAACACGTGGTTTGGCATCCAACCAACGCACCAGCCCCTCGATCTGCTCACAATCCAGCTGATGTGGGTTTAGACACATCACAAAACAAGCAGCCATCCAAGGCCGGAACCAGCGCACACCACACGTGGGCCACAACAACATTCCCATAAGGGACTCCAGCTCTCCGCGAGGCATTACTTCCCGTCTTCCCAAGCGGAGCAGCGCAACCTGCGAAATTTCGTGCCATGATAGCAGAATACCTAAAGCGCGCGCACACAAAGGCTACGAAACAGCTTGTCATCAACAAACCAGTAGGCCGCCAGATGCGGTCAAAATGGAAGGTGTTGAAGACCACTTTCGGTTCCCTACGGCATGCAGATATAAAGAAGCCCTTGCTCCTCTGCGGCCACCTTTGCACATTCGCGACAAACTGTCTTGGGGTCATCCAATGCCCGTGTCGTATATGTGCAGATCTAGGTCTGGCCACTCAGCCATGTACGACTTGCGAGATGCCCGTTGGCACACCACGTCTGAGTAATTCTGGTAAGGCTGAACATGAAGAGGGCTGCCCAAACTTCCAGACAAAGAGGCTGACCGGCTGCAACGCCAGCGGAAAACACGGTGACTTCTCAGAAAAACAGACCAGCACATCACGAAGTGCCGGAAGTTAATCATTAATCAGCCACGCACTTTGCGAGCTCATTGCCAATGCATTATGCAACCTAACGATCAACCCGCTGCTACCATCACGCAATCAAAATCTATCTTGTTGGGCACCCGCTCTGAGACTGGGAAGTTGCGAAGATTTGCGAAGCATAGACACATGGAGGGGCTGCTCAGCAGACCACATGCTACGGAAAAGCCTCGAGAGCAGACTCGACGTGCACCACTCAGCCCATCCTCTTGCTTCAGCCTGTCCGTATTTTCTCGTCGCGAGAAAACCCGTCACCTTTGCTGGGCGGCAGCGGCGCCTGACGCCTTAGTGGTGGACGATTGCTCTCGGGCGTCTTGAACTTTTCCACCAGCAAATGTCGTGGTAGATGGCGCCCAAACACCTACCCTCTCGCTGTGCTGTAAGCTGCTTCAGCCTCTTGAACTGGTGGATTGCGAAATCCCACTGAAGCACGACCACTGTAAAATGAAATGCGCTTCTCCATGCACCACTCTTCATGATACTTTCCCGCGCCTTGGCTTGGATACGCTGGCTGCATCGGCTCTTTATTTCACAGACCGAGCCCTCGGATAACACACGTTTCCACGGCACCTACTCCCAGTTGGAGGTCTGCACCTAGCGATGAAGTGGACAGATGACGCAGTGGCTGGAGCGACGACGGCCGAAGAGCTTCCGCCCTCGTGCGGGTAGGAAGGGTTCGGGGTGTGCGCTGGCCATTAGCCCGCCAACCCCAGCGCAAACCTACAACAACAGTGGAAACACTGCAACACATCTGAGACTCCTGCCTCCAAGCACCTGGTAGAACGTTTGGCCTGGATGACCGCACACAGATGGCTATGGAACATCCAAAACACAACCTGAAAGCTTTCTGGGACTCGGACGGCTCCACCAAACAAAGGCTCGCCCAACCTGATCATATGCACCAGAGTACCCACTTCAATTAGGGTAGTGCGTCACGTTCTGTATCACTGCAGTCCTTGATGGGGTAAGAGGTGGCAACCTCACGGTCCTGGTCAATTCAACCAGCACGGGCGAAACCGTGGAGTTGACCTCGCCTTCGTTCGAAGGGTCAGCGTTGCCGGCGCAGCGTCAGTTCCTGACCTTGCTTCTGTGTGCTCAGGATTCCCCGCAGCATCAGGCCAAAACGTGATCTGCGCAGACAAACACTATGAGCAAGACTCTTCAGCATCTACCGGCACAAACAACCGGAAGGAAACCTCCCGTCGATTGTCGGCCCACAAGCCACCGTTGTCCACCTCGCCACACGTAGCCATGTCCCATTATCAAAGTCCGCCAACGAATAAGCACGAGACACGCAGCTAGAAGCCAGCAAGGCAAGGGGGTAAACTAAAAAAGCGGACAATCATAAAGTATCATAAAAAAAGACTGAGACGGGATGAACATCCGTTGCATACAGGGTTGTTTGCAGTTGTCTGCCGGCCTCTGGGCCACCACTCTGAGGCTTCAAGATACGCAGTTCCGTGACAACCTGCCCAAGCCCGAAAGTGCATGTGACATGCGGAAACAGCAGCAAGCCACCTCCAGCTCCATTAGGCGGAAAGCTCGCAGCACTTCTGCGGCGAGAGCGCTGCAGATAGCCCAAACCACACCTGGCTAATTCACTTGGGTTCTGTAGCAGAAGACTTAATCTGTACTCCGGGCCAATCACCAAAAGGTTGGTGCTCCTCTGTGTTACAGCCCGTCACAGACAACTCGGTACCTCACAAGTCTCACAGCAAGACCACATCACTGCAAAGGTGAAGGGCATGCGGCTGCCGGGGACCGCGCGGTCTTTTAGATTCGCCTGTTGCCAGTTCCGTGAGAATCAGCTCAATGCCGCGAATGCACTACTGGCACACTAGCTGGCAGAAGTGACTCAAAACGTTGGACATCCGGGACCCCCAAACAGTCGTTTTTCAGAGCAGCGTCACGCCGCGCATGCTCTGAATGTGCTTTTGCAGCACCCTTCTCAAATGGAAAATCTAGACAGGTTGGGCGTACTTCAATCACATCCAACTTGCATCAGCTCGAGTCAGGGCATTTTTAAGAGCCTTTGGCCCTTGACTTCCAGGCTGACGCCTTTGCCGCCATCATCTTTGGAGCTTCACGGCGAGAATGAAAGAAGTTTCGTTCCCAACTCTGACCCATATTTCGACAATGTGTCCAATACATCGACGCCTGACGTGCTGCCAAATTCAGAGCCAAAGTCGGAGCTCTGCAAGTATGCAGCTCCACCCAGCACTGCGAGGACCAGACCCCAGTTTGCATTTTCCAAGTTGCCCCATGGGAATGGCTTCAAACTTTTCCGCAAGATGAGTGCGACCTGGGCTGCGACGGCTAGGTCTCATAAGGCTCCAGCAGGAGAGCGCATTCCTTGCACAAAACACAACACTCCACTGAATCGGTGTCCTGTGACAGTCGTGCGCTCTTTGACACGAGAAGTTGTTTCGCTGGTGTCCAGGTATGTAGTGACTTGTCCGGGGCGAATGCCGGCTAATCTGTAGCCCATGCGGTCATAAACACCTCTGGCCTCCAGGGGCCGACAGAAAAGCTCATCCTTTCATTTTGCTGAATTTGACTTACAGATGTTGCCATCGCCTGAAAGTTGGTGGCTTCTACGAGCAGGACCAACTCATCATAGCCCCATTCCCGCACAACTTCCTCCTGCCAAACAACTTGCTACAATCTTCGATCAAGCAATTCTTTCACAGAAGTAGTGAGCTATCTATGACTGGGTGCAGGGCCAACTTTTCAACAAGCTTTCGCCCAATGCCTTTGCCTCGGCACTCCTTAGCTGCGGCACAGCAACCAAGTGAAGTCACAGCAAGCAATCTGCTCTCTTGAAGAAACAGGTGTGACCTGGTCATGTCAGGCGACAGAAGATACAGCCAAATCTGCCATGACAGGCCGCAGTACAGTCCTTAAGTCCAGGGCGCGGCGCAGCACGCGCTAAGGGATGGATGGGGCGAGTCTATAAGAGCTGACACAAGCGAGCTACTCCCTGCCGCCGTCGTATCGAAAAACTGGCATCTCCTCGTTGGTGAAGACGTTGAAGCATTTGATTTCACATCCCACGCAGCCCACCACTTTGGGATTTGCAGTGCCTTTACTAGCTAGTCCAAATTGCGCCAGGACTGCTCACATCCGTCTCAGTGACCCGCCTGAACTGCCAAAATCAAACCAGGAGCTTGTGGTCTCCTTTTTGGGAGCTTGCGGCCTCAGAGATGACAGCAAGACCAGCTTGCAAGCTTCCTGGGATTTTGGGCGCCGCCCTGCCGTGCTCAGTTCAGAATCAACATGGCAGTATCCAAGGCGCTCCTGGAGTCTGGCAACCAGCAGAGTGCTGGGGTAAGGAGTTGCCTTGTACAATTGGGAGGTTCTATGCGTTGTTTTCATGTGCATGCATGTTGTGCACAGGCTGGAAGCTTTAGATAATTGTGGCCGAGCGGCTGCCAAATACAAGGTCTGGTAGGCTTGTACCTCCCGACTGGCAAGAAGGGAGTAGTCCTCGTCGCTGAAAGCCGGCTGCTCGAGCCACCCTGCAAAAAAAAAAATAGGCATGCTCCAGCCGTTTGTTGCAAATTGATTCCGAATCTCACGGACCCTATTCCGGAAAACCCTTAGGCAGGCTCCTGCAGTCCAGCGCAAGGAGCGCACCGCAACCTCAGCAGCTGGACGCACATCCGCATCCGTCGCCTGCTCTATCCTCGGGTTGACTGACAGTTCTGAAGATCAAAGTCTCCTCTCAAACATATGGCTGGAATGCAAGCCACATTCTTGCAAAGCGCTGATTTAAGGATAATCTATGGACTGGATCCTATCCAGAAGGCGATGCAACTGCAAAGAATGAAGATGAATGGATGGAATCAGAGAGGCTGAATGGCAGACGCCCTCCGTCGAAGATGAACGCGGTCTCGATCCTCACTTGTCCAGAAAGCCAAGCATTTTGTGTCGAAGGCCTGGCCCTGCCTTGCAGCGCGAGCGCTGCAAGCGCTGCCAGCGCTGCCATGCCACCAAGGTGGACGCCGAAGCGATGGCCCAGCCCTCAAGCTGGACAAGACATGCTGTGGCACACTCCGGAGCCCAAACGAAACCAAAGTTTACTGCCTGGCGGTAGGAGCAGAGCGGAGAAGTCCAAGGGCGACTAGGGCCAAGCTGCAGTGGACGGGCAGAGGATGTGGCAGGTTTGCTCAGAGCAAACGTCAGAGCCATGGCTACCCACGCAGCTAGGCCCCAGGTGTGGTGCAATACGTGGTGACAAGATTACGCACTTGAGTCACTGTTTAGCGCAGGAGCTAGTTGCACATGGTGCCACTTTACGTTGCTGTGCGGCTGGTGTTTGTGAGCCAGTTGACTGAGGCAGCCTCTCAGCAATGTGGACAGCAAGAACGCAAACAGCAAACGTGGTCAACCCCAGCCTTGCAATCCTGGCTGAGTTTTGCCCAAAGACCTAACAACGCAAGCTTGGACACTAGACTCTTAGGATCAGCCCAATTCAGCTTTGCCTGGCGCAGGATCCAAATCAATGGCCATCACTCCAGAAGCCTCGAGATGCATCGTATCTTGGGACAACAAACTCTTGCAATGCCTCGCTGAATATGAGCACTATCACTATAGGCCAAGCATCCAAATCAAGAGGCAACACTCCAGGCGGCCAACCTTGAGGTCAGCCTCCTTGGTATCCCACAGTTCGCGTATCCGACGAACCGGCATCGGCCTGCATGTCTGGCCCACACCACCTCTTGAGTTTCGCGTACATGGGGGCAACGAGCCTCACTGCGGTATCCACCACTGCCAACTCTCGCCGCCTCATCGAGCAAGCGTCTTGCATCTACGGGTACTGCCCAAGACTGTTCAAAGCTTAAACACCCACACAGGGTATTGAACGGTGCTTGGTCCTACGTCCTAAAAGCATCCAGTCCTTTCAAGCCAACAGCTTCCAATTCTGCTTGACTGCTTGCCAAGCCAATTGCTTACACCACAAGAGTCCAATGTCCATGCATCGATGGAGCACTAGACTCTCTCGGAATTTTGGGAAGTCATGTGTCCGTAGGTCCTAGCTCCGCAAAGGTGACCGCAATAATGCATGAATAGCATGAGCAAGGCCATGATGCACAAGGTTGAGCCCAGGATGATGTAGATGATCATCCACAAGCCATCACCGGGTACCAAAAGCATCGTCATGGTTCCGACATAGATATAGAACATTGCGCGGCCCGTGGGGTTCGCCAGGATGAAAGCCTTCTGGAAAAGCTTGGCCTGGACGTCGCCACAACTTTGCATCCAGGACTCCTTGCCATCGCAGATGCAGATGATGATGCCGAAAATGATGTTGTAGACATTGGCCAGGTAATGTCGCGGCATGAACAAGACCGCAAACGGGTTGAAGAGGGTGATTATGCTGAAGATCATGAGCAGCAGGCCGATGCAAAAGCACATGGTTTTAATGCTTGCAGGATTTTCTTGGATATAAACCGTGACTTCATAGACACCTGATCTGGCCCTGTCTGCAGCTGCACGCGCGCCGGTCTGCGCTGCAGCCGTGGCCATCTGTCGCTGGAGCTCGGCTGCCGGACCGCTCTGTGCTTGTCCATATACCTGTGGCGTGGCCATGGCTCCGGGCGGGTCCTGCGTGGTCCACACGTGTTCGTATGATGCAAGGCCGATGTTCTGCTTCGATGTGGCTTTTTCCTTGGCGCTTCACCATACGTTGGAACTGAGCTGGCCAAACTGGAAAATGGCACAAGGTCAGCACGCAGCTTGCCCATGTTGAGTGCACCCACGCATGCCCACACGTGCCCCATCTTGGTATGCTGCGCTATAATTGCAGCACGCCCAAGCCTGAGCACGATGAACAGCAACCGCAGTTAACTGCAGCTCTACAAGACTCAGCCCGTGTACTGCCTTAGGGCCTTAGGACTGAGCGCATTGGTGAACAACTGCGCATTCCCGCCAACCTCATACCACCAACCTTGCTGCAAAAGCTGATTTCCACCAAACAGGCTGGCCATCAACATTGTTCAACAAGCTCCAGTCAAGTTGCCCATTGCCACTGCCAGCAAAGCACCATAGAGACGCGATCTCAGTTGTGGAAACTGCTTCTCTCCCGAGAATGTTGCTTGCCCTGCCCCAACTGCTCCAACTCTCTTCGAGCACTAGGGTTCGTGCTCCTTACCATCAGGCCGTATGGAACGCATGACCTGAGAGATTAGCCAAAGTCATGAGTGAACCTGAACACCGTGAGCCCACGCCGAAGCTCGAACAAACTGCTGTAGGTCTTGTGGGCTTGGTAGCGAAATGCCTCCTGCAAGCCAGTTTTACTTCAAAAGCAAGACAAACGAGAATGAAAGCAGCCAACGCCCCTCTCAAAGTTTGGCACCTTCTGAGTCGCTATGCACAGCTTTTACCCCTAGTGCGGCATGCTGTTGCGTCAATCGTGTGACTGCGCTAACAGCGAGCCGTCCTTGCACTTGTGCCGCAGCCTCTGCAGGTGTGTTCTCGAGATTTGCCGCCATCTCCTCGCAGGTCCGTTGCACCATCTTCTACGTTAGTTGCACCTGCTTCAGGATGGAAATTCTGCTTGTCCTTTTCCTGCACTTTTGGGTTGAAGATTCTGTAATTCACTCGGAAAAGCCTCCAAGTGGAAAATCGTCAGCAAAAAGCCCAGCAAGTCAGCTGGGCATTGAACAACTACTTCCTGGTCTTGGCCGGAAGAACTCTCAAAATACAAACCAAAACGGTGGAGGCAAGTGCTAGCATTGTGCTGCAAATCTGCACTCAGAGTGGCCAGTGATGAGTAAAGCTCATCTCTGACCAGTGGATGACCGATGTGGGACAAGTGGCTTCGGATTTGGTGGCGCCGACCTTGCCCAATATTCTTGTTCAGACCAAGGCTCTTCGGTCTGAGCTCGCTTACCCTCTAAGGAGTGGCGACGCCACCCCAAAATTCCATATGCGTATCGATGCACTGAATGCCATGCTACTTCGTCAATCCTGACTCGACTCCGGACAGTGCGCACACACGTTGGCTCCAAGCCAGCGGGGTCATTTTTAACATCTAATCAAGATAGGACGTCACTTCGGACTCCCCGACTTGCTGCAAATGGCTGGTGCAACTGAACCACACGGTTCTCCATGTTGCTCGTGCGGAAACAACTCCTGTAATTTTTGTTGTGTTCAGCGGAAACACCCTGCAGCTCTTATCAGTGCCACAAATGCGACCTACAGGTGAGCAAAGAGCACGAGCTCCAAGCAGCGTGCAGAGAATTAAAGCAAAACTCAAAGGATTCACGCCGCGTCTGGCTTTGAGAACCAAGGTATGACAAAGCTGTGCAGTCCATCTGTTGTCGATTGTTGCCTGAGATGGGCTTCGTGCTGTGGTCCCCTCGTTTTCGTGCTGTGGTCCCCCCACTCTTTTCTCGTTTCTGTTGTCTGGGTGCTGGGAAAAGGGTCATGCCCAAGTGGACGAACACACACCATCTTTCTTACATGAAGGACTCATCAAGACAGAACCTATGGACGAAAAGGCAGCATGCATTGCTGCATACTTGAACAGCGCGGATGGTTTAGGGCGAAACTAAGTTCCGTGACTGAGCCGAGCACCTGTGAGGATGTGCACCAATAGCAGGCTCACAGCATCAGCGTTCTTTGAATTGCGAGCACGAACTTCGAGCCAGGTTTTACTTGGCTTACCTCCGCCACCTGGAGCAAGGTGCATGAGTGCATCAGCACATCAGGGCCCGACCCCCTATGAAGTTTACACACTATGAATGTGCAACTATGATTACGATGCATGAGCTAAAACAAAAGCGCAGGCTACGAGTAGCTTGCAATGCGCCTGATTGAGTGGGATGGCCGCCTCCCCATGACACGGATGCCAGAACTTCACGGCTGCTTGGCAGCCAGCCATGTGCTAGCGCCAGGTACTTGCGCTTTATGTGCCCCGACGCAAGCTGAACTTGCAATTCATAGAATGCCTGGCAAGACTTCAATTCAAAATCCTTGCGCTTACCTCTTATGCACTGGCCCGGTTCTGGTTCACAGTTTCCTATCCTGGTACGTCTTGGCTGCCAGAATCAAACCAGAGCTCGGCACGTCCAAGCGGTGCAAGAATCCAAAGCTGTGGCTGGGATCCTGAGCGCTTGTAGCGGCACACCCTAGAACTCGTGGAGCCAAATTCGCCAAGTCTGCATTGCTGCATGCCCAGTGGCTCGCGAGAGTGGCAGGTGACCAAGCTGCTTCTGCAAGAACGAGCGCAACCTTAAAAAGGTGTGAAGGGCAAACGACGATTATACCTTTTCAACAATGATCCCCAAGGCATTGCCTCAGAAGATTCCAAGCACAGGACAAGGCAGCCAAGCATCTGGTTCGGCAAAAACCCATCATGCACTTCCCATCCAGGAGGCTTGTAAAGCACAAGCCTGTCGTGCAGATCCAGTGCAACATGAGGGTCCTTGCCAGGTGACGCCAGGTGACACAGAACCATGAATCGAATCGGTTGTTTGCCAGGACTCCGCAGTCCTCGGAGCGTAGCCTGGATGCCTCTGGTTTCGCATTAGCGCCCACACCCTGGGCCGCTGCATCGGGATGAACTTCAGCATCCAGTGTGCATCCAATTTCCCGGACGTGTGCGTGGAGGAAACTGACGAATCTACCAGTCAAACAGTGGGCAAAGCTGGACGCCCAAGCAATGGTCAGCATGTGCTCAGCATAGCCCATCCGATGCGCATTCAGTCTGTGCTCACGGGAGCACCAGTCCATGCAGTGCATGGCCGCATCCTGTATCTTGCAAAGAACGTCGTGGTCTGGAATTGACCCAGCACAGCTCCAGGCCAGCACCGACAAGCTCTCCAGCTGCAACGAGTTGCTGGACATCCACCTAAGATGCTGCTGCGCTGCTGCTTCAAGTTCTGGGCTTCAAGCTCTCCCCTTCCACCTTTGCAACGCGATTTCATTAGTCGAATAGTACGACGGTTCCGGTCCCAAGCTGGAAATGGAAAGCCTGTCGATCAGAACATGCTCGGGCCTCTCACTACGTCAAGCATGTTGAGGAACTGGTTGCGTCAAGCGACTTGGCATGCAGGTGGTTCATCAGTGATGCACTCCGTAGACCAAGCGTGGCAAGAGACCACCAAACAGATGATATGTCCTGCAACACAGTGCTGTTGATGATTTCTTTGGTTGAGAAACGGCTCCGATAAACCAAGCTTGCTGACGTCCTTTGTATGGTACTGGTCCAGGTCTGCTGCCACGCACGCAAAGGCAGTCTGCAAGACTGCAGGATCGCGCACAGAGAGTCTGGCCAAAGCCAGGCAGAAGGATGCAGAAGTCGTTGGTACCCTGCTGTCCTGTCCGAAGCATATGTTATGCAAAAGGGGACAGAGAACAATTGCAATCACCGCTGGGTGCGGCGCATGTCGGATAACCATGTGTTGGCAACTATCAGCATGTGTCGGGAATCCATGAGCAAGGCGGGCACATGTCGAGAACTATCATCAAGCCCCTGTGCACAAGTCCAGAAGTCGAGTTGAGCTAAGTCCGGGTGTCCTCTGACAGCCAAATCGCTGCAAGCCCGTGATTCCGCTGTCCAGCATTTTCGCAAGCCTTGATGACGAGATCAAGACATACGTCAGAAGGAGGCACCTGGTCCGTGCACATGTCCAAAAATTGCTCCACGGCTGCCTCCCAAACATCTCGGCGAGAAGCAGCGCTTAAGAGCTCACCATAATGAATTGCGGTGGGCAACATTAAACGGTCCCGCAGCATTTGTAAACCTGCGACCGCAGCTGGCCACGATTGCGCTGCTTCCGCACACAAAACCACCAATCCTGAAACATTGGTGGGGTCAATGCCGCACCGAAGCATACGTTGAACAAGTTGCAGAGAGTGGGCCCACGCATCTTGCTTCTCGCATGCGCTGCCAGCGGCATTAAACGTCACGGCTGCACCTTTTAAGCTTCCAGCCACCTGCTGCTGCAAAATTGCCAGCACCCTTCCCCACTCTCCCGAGCTGAGGAAAATGTTGGCGCTGACAGCATCTGGCTCAAGGGACTGCACCGCTGCTCTGCACCAAAAATGTGTAGCCTGCCGCCAAGCATCACCTTCGGCAGCGCCTGCTATGACCTTGACTTGCCATTAAAAGCCGGCGGAAGCGACGTGCAACCATGCGTGACTGAGCGTCCTGCCACGTTGTGGGAAATCAGGTCTGTCTTGACTTCAGACTTTTGCACGGAAGCCAAGCACCTGCCAACATGGCACTGACTTGAGCCGTTGCCTAACGAACTATCACGACAGAAGACGGCCGATGGCAGGCCTGAGTACGCTGCACCAGTGGCTGGCCTTGCTACCGAGGGAGCTCACTGACACGGCATCCAGAACCACGGACGCTTGCCGAAGAGAGCCTGCTCTGCCGTGCTTTGCGGCTAGTGGCAGTTTTGCTCTTGCTTAGCATTGGCAAATCTGGTTTCTTTGGGCTCTGGCCTAACATGCTCAGAGATCGGCGCCACTTCGAAGACAGGCGAAGTGTGGAGGTGATCAGTGGCAGGTTGTGCCTGCCCGAGCCCGGGAGCATGCTGAGGAGCGCGAGGCAAAGTTCCCAATGATCGCATGTAGACAAGGCCGCCTGCAAGAAGTTTTCATGAATCCTGTACACATGCGCCCACAGAGCAATGAGCAACCCGCTCCTGATGGTGGCAGGCAGCGTTTGGAGCCATGCCCCTAGCCAGCATGGCCAGTAGGCCACCCAGAACAGCTTCCCAGGCACGAGCTTGCCGAAGGGCTGTGATCCCAAATGTGCTGTGCAGCCTGCTGGAAGCGCCAAGAGCATGTGAGAGCCCACCTGCCTTGCCATATCTTGCTGCCGAGATTCTTGCCAGGCTCGACTCGCCCGGGCAGCCGACCAATCAGTGCCAGTGTCTGCTGCCAGGCCAGTGCTTGCTCGAGCGCATAGAGCAGAGTTCGAATGCTGGTGGAGTCCGGCCCAAGCCCAGAATCTGCCATGTCTGCTACGAGATGCCTAAGATGAGGCACACATTCACTCTTAGAAGCTTGGCGCTGCCGACCGGGACCACACCAAAGCTGCTCAAGAGAAAAACGCTAAACAAGAATGAACTTGTTATCCACGCGGCAGAGCAGGAATCCAACCCTTGCCTTTCGCACGGGCACAGCTTCCCATCGCCACATTGCAGCCTACAGCACAGAATGCTGTGGAGCGAGTCAAGGAAACGGCCATGCACTTAGCCCTTGTATACGTCAAGTGCACACGCCTGTGCTCGTTTGCATTTCCTAGCTTGTGTTCCAAGCAGCTGATGCAATCTCTTTGTACACCACAGACGGAGCTATGCCGTAGCAGCATGAGGGCCCAGTTCCAATTCGCGTTAAAGCTCGCGCCCATAGCCTGTGGCTTGCATGCTGGCCCTTTACGGCATCCTCTGCTACACGCAATGACCCTGTAGGTGACTTAATGGCGATGCGTCAGATCAAGACACAGGCTGGCAGCATGCTTTTGCCAAGGCTCAGTGGTGAAAGCCACCGCATCTGGCAGAAGCTCGAGCTGCTGCATCCGCAGTACCGACAAGAGCCCAAGTGCCCAGGTCTGTTTCGAGCTTGCTTTTGTGGCCACATTCCAGCAATGCACATCTGGCAAGATGTCGGCGGCGCACATGTCCTCACGGGAGCTGCAGGATTCGTGCTAGGAAGCAACGACCTTTAAGTTCTTGCGTGGGGCAAGTTTGTACGCTTTACGCACTCTTTGAGTCCTTTAACAAGCCCAAGCTTGCTGACCACTTCCCGGCACGTACAAAGCTGCTCATCGCTGCAGTGCAGCCTATGATGTTTGGTATCAAACGCAAGCTCCTTGGCTGGGCAGGTGTGCTTGGATGCGTTACCTTAACACATTGCAAGTTGACAAGGCCGTTGCTGTAAATAAACTAAGGCAGGCACATCATCTGCGGTATTGAGCTGGGAATTCGTTCGGGTGGTGCACGCTGCTCGAAGACACCCGCAGCCATCCTGCACATCCTGCAACGATACCGTCAAAGGGCCTTACTGTTCAGAACCCACCACGCGAACGAGATTCAGTGTCATCATCGGCTTAGGGTGCCTAAAGGGTCCCTCTGGCTCATATGTAAACCCTGTTGAAAAAAGTCTCTGACATTTGTCGCTTGGCAACCGATCCGCCAGCACCGCTAGCCGCTGGCTGGCAACTATACCATCTGACTCACATCAGGCCGTTCTTGCGCAGGAGCACGATGGAGGGCCCAAGCACATGCCAAGCCCTGTTGCTTGCTTGGTACCCTGATTCTGGTAACTTGGACCAGAACGGCTTCAATTTATGGACGTACCTACATAGCGCATCGTTCACAGGTTGGAGTGTTGAACGCGGGCTTCTCCTGCAGCAGCAGGCCAGCGGGACTGCCTTCCAGCAGCTTCGCACCTGTCCCAAAGGCTTGAGTGTCTTACGGGCTTGGGGATGGGGGACTCTCTTTCGCAACAAACCACTCCAACCTCGCTTGGCTGCACTCAACGCTTCCTCGAATCCTGAGGCATTGCACCCCGACCCCGTGTGTCCCCGCGTTATCTAAGCCTTTGAGCTGCCTAAGCTAAGGCCCGGACTGCACAGGGACTGCAAGCTTCGTGCCTTCAATTTGGGCTCTACGGCTCTACTAGCTTGCAACAATTAGATTCCTAGTTAGCCTTCAGGAGAACTACCTGCAAAGCGTGCGTAGTGCACCGAACAAGGTCGGCAATGTGCATCAAGCAAGGCTCAGCAAAGACTTCTGATCTGATTGCTGCTTCCTCATTTTCCTCTCCAGGTAAGTTTCCAGCCGCAATCTCGTGGCAAAGAACCTCGCAGCTCTGCGTCGATTGGAGAACTGCGTAGTCAATGCTTCAAGTGCAATGCGAACGACTGTCAGCAACACATTCCAGAGCCATCTTGGCCCATCACATCTCCTATCTCGATTCCTGCGTTTGCGTCAGCCACGGCGCAAACAGCAAGGTTCGCTGCCTCAGAGCAGAGCTACCTTCAAGGAATGCAATCATGTCTTATCTGCCAAGGACAATGACCAGGGCACACGATGCACGGCGTCTGAAGATTTCCGAGAGCTCCGGTGCACTTTCCTGCCAAGAGCCCAGAAGCTGCAATGCAAATCTTGTCGATTTGTGGGACCAGATTTGGAGACTTCAGTCTACCGGTTGATTTGACACACATGGTCATCTCTGCTTCATAGAGACAGCTACCCTTACAAGAGACCGTTCAAAAAGACATCCCTCCGTGCTTTTTCGTTTAGATTCTAGATGTCATGATGACGCTGTACTAGATCTGACTTGGCAGAACCTTACCTTGCCAGAAACTATCCCTGAGTTGCAACACGTGTTGGTGCTTAGTTTGAATGTTGTGGTAATGTTGAAATCTAGGTCCAGGCTTCTTTTCAAGTATTTCAGCTCAAGAAAAGTTGTATCCTTCCAGGAACTTTTCCTAAACGAAGCCTCTTTTCAAAACTACAACTTGATGGGATTGAACACTTTCCCTCAGGCCATGCCAATGCCTCCTCATTATCCACCAAGCAGATTGAAAACAAGTCCGGGCAAAGAATGCACCATAAGAAGGCTCTCATGTCAGCCTCGGCTGCCTTGCCGTAGAGCAACCAGGCATCAAAGTGCTTGCCTTTGGCCTCGGCACCAAACACGCCAGGCCAACCAGCCATACCAATAGCTCATAGAACATGGTGAAGCACTGCAATGAAAATCCCTGCATCTGAGAAACTCCGCGCCAAAGGCAACACTTAACATACACATGTGAGCTAGAATCTGAACTCCTAGTACCCCCCATAATAAGCCCTAAAGTAGTCTCCTATATAATCCTGTATATAACCCCCCTTTAAGGAGTTTAGACTGTAGCTCGTCTGGGCGACCAGCACACTGAACACACGAGAGACCAGAGCTCCCAAAAACCGACTACGATGCGCACCGCTCACGCCATATGCCCTATGCTCACCACAAACATCAACATGAATCCAGCTTGTGCAACTGCAGCTTACAAGAGAAGCACTGAACACTCCTGTCAGCCCTGTCAGCCCGTCGACTTTAGGGGGGTGCACAGTTCCAGTCTCAGGCTGCGACCTCTGACTGCCTCGCCAGCTCCAAGTATGGCACCTCAGCGTAGCCATGCACAGCCGAGAAACTAAGCACTAAGCATGCGATGTGAAACTGCGCCTGGTTGGGCGAAGCCGGCCAAGACGGTCCATGCGGCCCAGCCTGGGGTAGTCTCAACCCCGAAGACTCCTCACTGGCATTGACTGGCATTCACGCACTAGTCTCTGGCGCGAGGCTGGGGCTGGGTGCTTGGGATCAGCGCGGATCAGAATGCCCACCTCAACATCAGCAGCCACTGCCTGGAGACAGTTATTTGAATCAATCTAAGCATGCGCCCAACTGCGACCCAGCTCAATTCCTTCTGACCACCACAAGCATTTTTCAATTTACAGACTGAGCTCACATGCGTCCATCCTCACAAAACGTCGGCTGCCGTGCCCTTCTAGACGAGAGCCCTCATGTGGTGAGGAAGCAACGCCATCAGGAAAAGCTGAGGAAGCTCAAGTTCCCAGATAAGGTCGGTCTGAGATCGCACAGTATTAGCTGCCAAAATCAGATTCGTATCCGCATCTCTCTTGGAGTGATGGGGTGCCCTTCTGCCATTTTAGAGACGTCTTCCGGCTGGAAGAAAAAATGAACCAAGCCCTTCAAACTTGGCTCGTCTCCGCGGCCATTTTCATCAGGGACAATCTGTGCAGGTGCAACGCGGGAGTTTCCAATAATCGGAAGCTCTTCATCCCCTCCTCCTAATAAAACCTGATCATCAACATTCCACTGCAAGTGTCTTATAGTTTTTTTCGCAATATTCATGATCGGGGAGGGGAGGTCATTATCAAGCCGAGAGGATTAAGTAGGATCTTCATTCAGGGAACCCCATTTAGGGTATACCTTGCAGTGCTTCTCCTGGTTGGAAACTACCACAATGTAGTTTTGGGGCCATTGGTGCCGGTGCCATGCGGCAGGGCAGAGGTTTCTGGCCATGAAATCTGAAGCAACCCAGAAAAAACTCCCTTGCGTGTGCCAGAGCTCTGTTCGGTAAATTTGTGGGCCATGCACTGTGCAGGTCAGAAACCTGTTCTCACTCTTGAGTCAATGCATTGAATGTCGCGAATTAAGGAGTTAATTAGTGCCATGCTGACTGAGGGTGGAGCGCATCACGCCGAGCATTCTACACACTGACAAAGTTTCGCAGGTAGCTGCACCGCTAGGGAGCTGGTGTTGTATCCACGCCTCTCTTCGAGAGCCTTCTTGGAAAGGATGGCCTGCCCAGCTCACATTTGCTCTGGACAAACCAAAACAATTCTAAGTGAACCCTTCTTTGCTGGCCTGCGTGGTTTTGGGCCCAGTGACGCATCCAACCGCATGACCAGCAAACCCAGAAGTTCTTGCACTGCCCGTGTCTCGCAGCGCAAGGTTGCCATGTCTACACCTTGACAGGTATGAGGCAGACACCGGCAGCTTTCAAGCACTTTTCGAAGGTGACTGACTCAGCTTCTTCCGCATCTCCACATCAGGCCTGAAGCACTTCCCCGCAGGCGCAGGCAGCCGTCCACAAAGGCCTTGGACATGCGCCGAAGCCAAGCTACAACAACAACAATTTTCCAAAAAGCAGACTCAGCCTCAGACGTCCTTGGAGATTGATCCACAAGCTTCTTCATCAAGAAGCTTGAAAAGAGTCCAGGCATCCCCTGGTGCACTTAGGAACTGCTTGCTTCAATTCATCTATGTGCCTTGCCTCCCTCAATTCCCAACGCTTGCAAGTTGAACTTTCCATTCTCCTCTGCCATCCACACCTTGCGCAGGCTGCAACCCAGGATCCTACCCATTCAGGTATCCATCTCCCTGGCTATGTGCGATCCTCGAACTCATCGAGCGTAATCCCTTCAGAATCGTCCTTGTCGATGAAATAGAAAAAATTGAGCCTGAAAGGTAATTCTTCCATATTCAAGGTCGGATGGAAAGGGCGCACGAAAGCCCACGTCCACTGAAACTGGGCGATGGACAGTTGGTTGCGCACATGCGTCGCATCTTTCGAGATGGCCACAATGTCAGGATCTCGTGATAGTGCTTCCATGGCACTATTGCAGAAAACGCCAGTAAGAATGTTTAGCAGCGCGAAATACGTGAAAGAGATATACCTCGGCTGATGCGCTGGTAGACCTATTGAAACACTTACGACCTATGACCTGCGACATAACAAAGAGATCATACTAGAAAACAAAACCTGAGAGAACATGCAGACAGCCAGGGTGCAATATGAAGATTACACCCATCAAGGGATCCAGCTCGTTCAAAGGAACGTACACCAGTTGCCAGTTGATGCCGCCCGAAATTGCCATGAAGCAGGTGGTCATTGAAACGAAGAGATCCCTCCAGAATTCTAACCTTACACTGCCAAATCAAGGAAACAAGTGAGCACAATAAATTTGTGGTTTAGACAGAAGGAGCCAAGGCACGGCATCAAGAGCGGTAAAAATGATAGTGATAGCAGTGGTGTTGATGGTGGTGGCAGTGCGGCCTGGCGGTGGCGGTGGCGTTGGCGGTGGCGGTGGCGGCGGCGGCGGCGGTGGTGGTGGTGGTGCGGCGGCGGTGGCGGTCGTTCGATGCTGTTGGTAGCGGCGTCAGCGAGGGCAGCAGTGGTGACAGCAGCAGGCGGCGGTGCCGTTGGCGGTGGCAGTGGCGGTGGCTGTGCTGGTGGCTTGCCGCTTGTGGGGTGGCGGAAGTGGCGGAAGTGACAGGGTACTTTGATCTCCAGCCTCTCCGTGCAACCAGGTGTCAATGCCGGTTTTGAGTCCTCCACAGCTTCCAAGCCCTGGCTTATCACGTAAGCTGTCACTGTCTGGGCGAAGAGAATGGAGACCTTAGGGTGGGTCAGGCCCTCAATGGACGCTCTGCATGCTGTTGACTCAGACCATGAGCTTTGTTTTCTGACAGATCAGCTCATATATGCTTCAAGAAACCGTGTAGATCATGAGCACCAGGAGCACGGCCTCAGTTGTGCAGCTCCGTACCTGTTTGTGAGCCAGCAAGATGCCTTTCTCGCACTACGAGGTCAATGGCTGTCAAGCATCGGCCCAAACCAGATACCACAGAGTGTGAGAGATGGAGGAGACCTAGGCACGAATGATGTTGGGGACCATGGCCCTGGCTATACCATTAGGCTAAGAGCTACCGGAAAAAATGCCATTTGGATGGGCGTAGTGCTGGCGGCGTGCACAAATTATAGTTCACGGCTGTTACTGCCAAAAGGCCAGGGTCTGCAAAGGCCCAACGTACTTCAGGAGGGATGGGATCCGCAAGGCGCGCAGCAGACGAGTGACCTTGCGCCAAGCCATGGGCTCATTCGAAGATCAAGCAAAAATGCAGCAACTTGCAAAGGCACGCGAAGGATCTTCAGAAGTCGCAACTGCGAAAAGCCAGGCATTCCCTCCAGCGGCTCATGAAAAAAGCTGTGGATGTCCTGGGCATCCAGTTCGATAAGGAGTCTGTGGCTCTGCTCAAGCTTCATCGTCAACCGGCTTTCAAGAAAGGTCAGCAGCCAAGGTGCCAGACTCAGCTCTATAACTGAGCCAAAAGCCAGGAATGTATCAAAGAAGAACCAGACACAACCTGCAAGGCTCTCATGCACCCATGTCAGTTTGTCAAGCGCCGCAACACAAACCACAGCAGGCAGGAAACCTTGGCGCACGGAATAGGCAAAGCCGAATGCATACCTTGGCTTCTAGCTGAAGCAAAGTAGAGAGAGGAACCTTGGCCCGATCACGGGCTCTCCAACGTTTCTCCTGCTGCCGTGGTGCAAGCGGAGAACAAGCTCAAAGGCAAAAATGATGTTGAGGGAGATGCGGACTGCTACCTGGATAGGTTGTTCTACTGGCTAAGTCCAGTTCGGCTGCACACCCTGGGGGCTTCACGAAGGAGTTTGGGAGCATGGTCGAAGAGTCCTGCGCAATGTATTGGACCTGCGCAGGCTCTGTCAGCAGCAGCAGCAGCAGGCATGTCAGACATGTCCCACGCCTCAAAGCCCACAAGAACGGAGCTGAGCAAGATAACCATAGCAAGGCTGATGTCGATCACATTACTCCTGACACGGGAGAAAGAAAGCAATCCACCTCGGGGTTCCCACGCAAAGCATTGTGCCTCATGCACGTTTGCAGTGGCGTCATACGGAGTTTGTCATGAGAAGCATTCGAGCTCCGCAGGCTTCGAGCATGTTCCCGCCGCGTCTCATCGCCGGATGCGCCGAATGACAAGCTCAGTCCCTTTGCTTTGCTCTGCGGTGTCGTTTCCTGGTCCTGGCAGCGCAATCTGCACAAGCAACAAAGTGAGGCGATAGGCGTCCAGAGCCTCTTCTGCAAGATGATGCCGCTGAAGCTGAAGCAAGTCCTGTCTGAAGACTTGGCAAGTCTCTGCCAAGGGACAAGCTACATGTAACGGCAACGGCTGTCCTTGGTAGTGCTTTCCGTAGCATCCGCTGCACCAATCAATGTCGGTGGCATCGCAAGCAAATGGGGAAAGTTGGAGGAGACTTCCGACTCCTGACACAACATTGCGAGCATGTTGCTTGCACACACGGACTGGTACCCGTAGGAACAGCAACTATGAGTCTGATCTGTTTTGAATTCACTGACAAAACTCGACCCCAGACCCTACTCCCCACGTGGAACTTGTGCTGCGGCTGAGGCACAGTGGCTACATCTCCGGTTGGGTCGCCCACGCGGGACCTCCGGTTCTCACCACATACAAAACCGAAGCCGCATGCCGGACGTGCATCGAGGGAAGACCCGCAAAGGCTCCGACCGAATTCTTGTGGGCACTTCGCGTCGCAGCAGCTCTCGCCATCGCGCCTCGAGCCGCAGCTCCAATGACCGAAGCTTCTCCTGAAGAGCACTGCAAATGCTTCTGAACTCTGTGGGCGCAAGAGTGTCATGCTCAGAAGAACAGTTCGCATCCTCTAAGATCTCGGAGAAGATAGTGCGCAGAGCTTTGTCAGGCTCAGGATTCTCTGCCACTGTATCATCAGGCCGTGGGCAGGTCGACTGCGGCGAATCCGCCATTCCCTCCCATGTGACTGCGCCCTCGGAGTATGAATTCAATTGCCTTTGAGGAGAAAACTGCGGGACTTGAGAATGCAAGTCGACTTATCTTAGCATGCTACCGCTAGCCACTAGCACATGGGAAGTTGCACACGGAATCAGGATTGCAGCATGTTGCAGCGGTCTTGGCCTGGGCATCCGTAATGACACACATGGCTTCGAAAAGCTTGCTTGCCTCGCAAGCAAAGCTGGTGATTTCCAATGCAGCCGCTGTGCGAAAACGCCTCCCACTGTCGATGCTCGCACTGCAAACGGTAGAAACGAGCCATCATGGCCTCAAGCCAGCCACTTGCTAGAAAAAGAAGTGCGGCAGGGTACAGGCTGACGGGTCTGCTGAGGTAGACACACCAGAACTCGTGCGAACGCGGAACTGGTCGCTGGCGGACAAGTAGCCCAGCCTGGGCGCAGTGCACACTGGTCATCACGCTCACGCAGCCCTGGCAGCACGCAGCGTCTCAGCTGACTGCTGTGTCCACCGCTTTCGCCAGAAGGATGCAAAGTCACAAACGCAGAAATGCAACAGCATGGCCTCAAAGCATGGCACCCGCATACCAGCCCTCAAGTGGAGATCTGTTGAATCTCTTTGAAGCTCTGGCAATCTTGCCATTGGGACACATTGCAAGGAAACCCTCCATACTCACCCTGTTCATTGACATCATGTTGCGCTTGCGATGTCCTGGAACTTCTGTTATGACATCCACCAGCTCAGCAACAGCAGTCATCAAACAGACTCAACAACCAATCCTTTTCTGCAGTGAGCAGAACTGTTCGCACGCAATCTGTTACCACCGTCATACAAGCAAGCCAGGAAAATCCTGTACATGGCCCACAAAGCGAGACAGGCCACCTAGCTGATGCAATATACAAACCACGCCTGCCACACAAACATGTGATCTTAAATCCCATGTCGTGAAAAAAGGAGGCACACCCAACACCGCGCCCATCAGTTTCTGGGGCACAGCATCTAGTGAGCTCATGACAGCGTGGAGCTGCTAGGGAGGCTTTTAAACCTTATTCCGTATCTTTCTTGACGCCCTTGCCCTGTGGCACACAATTGCATGGCAGATACCGTCCAACAGTGGCGCGACGATGACTCATCAGCAGAATGTTTAGCCCTTGCAGCCGGAAGAATAGCAACAAAGCGAGCGATGCCATGATGTTGTACAGGATGGTCTCATGATTGTCGTTACCCAATGGCCATGCTTCATTCATGCCCAGGAAGGTGTGCGCGTCGGCACATGTGAGCACGGGGCAAATCCCACCAGCTCCTTGCACTTCATGACCGGTGCAGCAGAAGTCACAGGGAGACGTGTCACAGCTGTCACCTGATTGCTGTTGCCACACTAGCCGATCACATGTCGATTTCTCTTCACAAGTGAATTCGTTTGTCACGGTTGCTTGAACCGCATACCTCGCAACCATGAGGTAGCTCAGGGCATTAAATGGCTGCGGCAACTCATCCACCTCAGCGATCATATCAAGCGCTGTTGTCAGGCAAACTGAAGCACCCAGCCATGTTACGCAAGCTAGCAGCAAGTTGGCCAAGGTGCCTTGATGAAGATCCCAGACAACAGCATCTGCGGCATCACAAGCCCAGGTGCTATGGACAATGCCAGACTGACCGTGGGGACCGCAGCTGACACCTTGAACGTGGACACACTGCGAGTTCAGAAGTCCTTGCTTTAAACACGTTTAAGCTCTTTTGCTTCCAGCCTGCCGCTTGAAGGTGCATGCTTTAAGCGAGTCGAGGGAGCCAGTGGCTACAAACGATCTCCAGTGATAGCACTAAGCGACAGCTTTTCAATGCAAGGCGGGCATGAGAATCCCTAATTAAACTCCAAACTGATCCAGTACTGTAATTCGTGATTTCCACTTTGGCATCCAAGCTGCCATGAAGCCAACTGCTGAACCGCAGTTGGACACGATGCAAATGATTGCGTAGAAGAGAAGGACGCGGTCCATCGATTCAGCATTCAAGCCAACCATCGGGTAGCTGATTGCCACAACGAGTATGGGGAAGAGGCACTGCATGACAGTATCAAGCACGGCCTTTGCCAGGTAAAAGGCCGCAGGATGGTAGAGTCCATCCTGGCTTTCACGTAGGAAGACGGCTCTCTCTGCGGGGAAAGCATTCACAACGCCCAGCATGGCAAACATGAACTGAGTGAAAACCAGGAGGAAACTGGAGAACAGCCGAGTTTGAATTCCAGACATGTTGCGCTCCAGCTGCAGAAAAATGAGCCCAACAAGCGCAGATGCCCCAATGGACTGCACGGCTCTGACAATTGTGAGTACTTTACTACGCCTTAAGTTCACCAGCTCCCTCTGGAGCAGAACTTTCAGTTGCTGTCCTGCGCCAGCCCTGGATGGTTTCAGGGAGCCCTCATTAGCTGAGATTGCCGTCGTGCGAGACTCAGCTGCATCCCTTTGAGTCAGCTGGCGCAGTTGATGAAGCCTTGTCCGGTGTTGCTGTTGTTCCTCGGTTGAGTCTGGCTTCTCCAAAGCATCCAGCAGCAGCTCGGGCACGGGTACCCCGTCCGGGCATTGAAAGCCCAAATCGTGCAATGAGGCACGCAAACCTGCGATGGGACCATAGTATGCAAGCTGTCCAGTAAGGAGAAGGAGTACTTTGTCGAAGCGATTGAATACCACTTCGGAAGGCTGATGAATTGTAGTGATTACAGTGCAGCCTTCAAGCGCCACCTCCTTCAGATCCCGGACCAGTGAGTCCGACATCTTGCTATCAAGACCACTTGTAGGCTCATCCAAGAGGAGAAGAGAGGGCCTGCCCAGAAGAGACAAGGCCACGTTGGTGCGCTTGCGTTCTCCACCTGAGATACCTCGCACAAGACCTGGCGATCCCACCACAGTGTCTGCGCATTTCTGTAGGTTCAACTTGATTATCACCTCCTCCACCGCCGATTGTCGCTCCTCCGCACCTAGCTGCGAGAGAATCAAGCCCGCTGCAAATGTCAGATTCTCACGGGGAGTGAGTGTCTCATACATGGTGTCCTCCTGGGTGACGTAGCCTACGGAATTGCGCATCTCTTTGAAAGGCTTCCCATTGTAGCTGATGTCCCCTTCAATGGTGCCGGCACAGCGCCCTACCAAGCAGTTTAGCAGCGTTGTCTTGCCAGCTCCAGATGGACCCATGAGGGCCACCATCTCACCCGCTTGCACTGACAGGCTCACATGCTGAAGCAAAGTACGCGACAGCGGCACGGTGACGCTCACATCGTTGACCTTGACGTTCATGCCTGCGCGCAACCAGCTGCTTCCTACACCTTGAGCCATCGTGCTGCATCTGGCGAGGACGAGTCTGCACATACAGCATGGAGCATTCTAGCCATGGTCATGCTGAGTTCGGCCACGCTTCGAAGGCGGTCAAGACGTGGACTAGGCACCAACTCACACAAGCAGTCCTGCTGGTCAATTTGCTGTTTGAGTCGCAAACACCTCTTCGTCGTCTGCCAGACGCCCCTCCTCAAAACGTCTAGGTGAAACACATACCACTAACCTGTGCGCGAGGTGCCCGTCCAGCCCTGTCCTTGCGACGGTTGACAGCTGCCTGCCACAAGTGATCATTGTTGGTGAACCTTGGTCAGCAGGCAGGCGATGGCACTCTGAGCTGACTCATAAGAGGAGGTGCAAGAACAAGTTCTGATGGTTCTCTTTTGGAATCTTCGACAATGGCACACGCTTGGGTCATGCAAGCTGCTTGCTGGCTCCAAACTTCTGTACAAGGTGGCCAGGCGACTGGACAGCTTGCGCAGTTGCAGTCTTCCTCTAAATTATGGGCTTCCTCTACTGGCCGGTGCTGTCGGTTACACCACCAGCTCACTCAGAGGCCCGGGCCATGTGGCTGAGTTCCTCGGGCAGATATCTGTGCTAAATGGAGATCCTCACACCACTACTTATTCGCTGAGGCACCCATCCCAGACTCCAGATATGCCTTCCAAGGCAGCCCAAGCCACAAGAGAAGCTGAGAACAGCTTCCGCACGCGCCTTTTTTCAAAGTGCCCAGCTTCACCTGTTCTAGGTCTTTGCTCGACGATTTTGGCATCTTGTAGTGATCACCTGTGTCCTGGCATGCCCCCGGCGAGGAAAATGTGTTCAGTTCTGCTGGAATGCCACTTGCACAGGCACCGATTCAACTCAAGGCAAAATTTCAGGACATGCCCCGAGCAGTTTCGGATGGAGGCAGACAAGACATGCAGCATTGGATGGCAACTTGCATGCAGGTGGCCAGTTCACTTGCCTCCTAGGCGACATGTCATAACATGGAGCATGTTGAATTTTTTGGGGAAGCGAAGAATGGTGAGGCAGGAACCAAAGATCCCCATCATTGATAGCTCCGGATACCTCTGGCCAGGCCTTCACGATGCGCTCATACCAGCGGCTCGAATATCCGACCTCTTCCACCTAGGAGCTCTGTAAAACCCAGCCCGGGCAAAGCAGACTACAATAGATATATAGGCTTATATAGGGATTATATTGGGATAACGTCAAAGAACATGGAAGCTACTATATCATAATAGGGGATATGTAGCCTGGGTATGTCTGGCCCTGCCTTTGGCACGATGCCTCCCTGGCTTCCTCCATGATCGGGCGCCTGAGGCCCCAGGGAAGAAATATGGAAGCCATCACGGAAGGTCACCTGTCAAACTATAGAGGTATATGGGGATTATATAGGGGATAATGGAAAAGAAAGTGGAAACTACCATATTATAGGGTTATATGGGGGTTATCTCGGGGCTATATAGGATTATATAGGGTTATATGGGGGAATGGAAAAGCAAATGGAAACTACTATGCTATAGGGTTGTATCAACATTAACATGCAAAGCAAATTTAGGACCACAACTCAGAACAACAAAGCACTAATATGGTCTGAGTTTCCATGAGTTGTCCAAACAGGTTCCACTCATCCTGAACGATCTTGTCCGCCCGAGCATTGTCTGTGGCAGTCCTTAGTCTACCCAGCTCACCAGAGCAAAGCTACGAGTGGCACGAGCCAAGGACTACAAAAATCTCATTTCAAACTTCTACCAGTGTCAAGTATTCCACAGCAGCTGCCGGATCTTTCCTGTACTTGGCCGCTGCTATGAGCTCCTGGGCAACATGGCGTAGGCCGACAAGATGTGCTAAATGTGAACCCTTGCTTTGCACACCTCCATCTCCAATGCTCGGGCGAAACGTTCCTCGGCCTGGTGCGCTTGTTGCATGACGCCCTCGGCAGCGAACCACCTGCGGCTCTGGCAAATGCCAAGTGCCCGTGCAAAACATTCAGCTGCCACGTCCACTCTTGCGGGTCGCGTCACCCTAGTCTCCCCTGTCTCTTTCTATGCCAGTATGAACTCCGGAGTATGAGGTCGAGGCGCGCGTCACTGCGCTGGCTCTGAGTGAGCCCGTGTAAGATCTTGTAAGCTTGATCCCCCTCTCTGGTTTTCTCTTTTTGTTCCCTCCCCCACCCACAAAGCAAAGACGTTTCTTGGTTCGAGCCTGGGGTACAGGAAATTCGCCACTGTATTGAAAGCCCAAAATGCGGAGTCTCGTGAGAAGGTCAACGCATCTCCGTTTCCATCCGCATAGCTGTGAGGAACGCGAGTGGCACCGCCTTACTCAGCTCAGGGGCAGGGCCCAAGACAACCTCTGCCTAACATTGCAACTTTAAGCCCAGGCACCATGCAAAGGGGCATGCACGGAGAAAGTTGCATCATCTACTCCAAACCAAAGCAATCCGCCAATCGCTGGCGGCAACCACGAGCGAAGCTGCACGATGAAGTTCCATCCAGCCTTGCTGAGGGGCAGCGCAAGACTGCAAAAGCTACCACAACAGAGGGTCTGATGTGCGGTACAGGCAGGTTTCAACAACAAAGCCAATATTGGCACAAGTTGAGCTCATTTCTGCGGATTCATGGCTCCTGCCACTTTGCTGTTTAGTTTTCTGATGGGTCCATCTACGAGCTTTCAAGTGCTGAGAAGTCCTGCCTTGCTTGCCACAATGTGGCCTGCCGGCAACATGAGTTGTCGGACATGTCGTTTAGCGGGTTTGTCTGCGGGCCACTGCTCAGGCCATTGAATTTGAAACTCCATTCCAGGGCATCTGCCAATTCATCCAGGAGCATACAATGACCCACAATGAGCAAACCTTGAAGCCATTTAAAGCCCATCAGCTTCTGTACCAGAATCCTGATATTCCTTGGTGGTCTCTTGCCCCTGACGCGCCTGCGGCGTGCCCACGGAACGCTCATGGACGTATGTGTCGTCTCCGAGATGCCATTCCAAAGGACGGACCCTGAAAGGTGAAGCTGAGGGTCCTGTTTCGTCTTTGTGTGAAGCAGCTCGATTCCGAAACCTCACACTGACAAATGTCCTGCGCCAACATCACCACGTGAGTCCAATGCCATGCCTTCCTCAACACAATAACAATGCATTAGCCGGCAGCAACAGAGACATGAAAAACAACTTTTACAAGCCAAGATTCGTAGTGATTGCGCATATGGGACATCAAGTCCAACGCCGAGATCTTCAAACCAGCTTCAATGGACAGCGGCATGCGCGCCGCAGCTGAAACATTGTGGCCTAGAACATAATTCTCATAGGCCTTCTCAAAAGACCGATCTGCCGCGACTTTCGAGAGGAAAGACCAAACTCTGGCATCACTCAAACGTGCGCCAGTGAATGTGATGGGATCATAAGTGTCGGCGAAGCTGAAGTCCTCCCTCTTCAACTTGCTGTCCCACAAGCCAATCTTTTCGGCGAAGCTAATGACCTTTGCCACGCAATGCACGAGGACCCTTGTGTTTTCATGGGTTGCCTTATGACTTGTTGCGAATCAAGCATGCATCGCACACGCTACTACGGGTTCTGTGTTGACGGCACCCAATAAGGAAAAAACACATGTTTGAGCGGAACAACTGCCAAATGAGAAGCAATTGAAATGGCAGGGTTTGCAATGGCCTCCACTCGGCAAGGCAACAGATTCCACTGCAAGCGGCCATCTTATTGAGATAGCCTCCCCTCCCAAACAAGCAACCTATGGGTCCCCCAACTTGTTCGAATTTTGAGGACATGATGCCCCATGCGCAGTCTCTAAAACGGCAATTGCATGTGGGTATGCCATTTTTGGACAACAATAAGACCGATCTGTGAGACGCTTGGTGCACTGGTGCTGCAGCGCATCCCTCACCAGAAGACGAGAATTCTACACGATCTGCAAAGAGTCAGGAACAATGTGCACATGCCACCACCTTCCTTCCATAGCTTCCAACTGAGCTTTGCGCGTCATCAGAATAAACACACGTCGAAGAATCGTTCAGTGGAAACTTCTGAATGCGCGCTTGGTTGGCATGACCGCTCACATGGCCGTCTGGAATCCGAACGGCTACCCATACAGCGCCCTTTTCAAACTTGCCCTTGCCAATCATCTCCAGGACCCACACCTGCGCAAGCATGCTGGCCCATCACCGGCAAGTGGCTGAAACAAGGAGGTATGCTTGGGCATGCCTGGCGGAAAAACTCTGCAGGAGATGCAAAGATAACTTTTTGCAAAACTGTCTACAGCTGCTGCTTACTTAACGTTCACACATTTGTCAAATGGCTAAGTTTGGACACGTGCCAACCAGGTCTTCTGTAGGAGTGTGGATGGTTGCTCATAGCTGTTTTCTTGCTGATATCATACAACACGTCGCATTGTGTGTTGGCTCTCTGTGCCTGCTTTCAGACTTCAGGCCAGACTGCTTGATTTGATAACTGTTCTCATCTTATTGGTCGATCTTCACCGCAACTCCAACGAGCTTCACAGGTCACTGACAGTCCTGAAGTGGCCCGTGGTTATTGGCTTGAAGCATCTTTCGCGCTGCAGAAACATCCTTGTGACTTTGGTAAGTGGATGCCTCATTCTGGTCTGCAATTGTGAAAGATTCCCCATCCGAAACGTAGCCATACTCGCTGACTAGCTTATCGAACATCAGGATGGCTTCGCGCGCAGTTCTGCTCCGTTGCAGCGTCACCCAAATCAAGCTTCCGTAGTCCAAGATGCCTTCACCTCCAGCTAACGTCTCCTCAGTTTTTTGCGTGCTGCTTCGCATCAAGATGCAAGTGCAGCCTTTACACCCTTTGGAACTTGGGCTACTTCATTCAAATCCAAACGAGCCGCATTACCACCAAAAGTCGTCTCACCGATGGCCAAACCATGTTCGTTGAGATTGCCAATCACCTTGATACAAATCTGAGCCGAAGCATCCGAACTAACTTCAGCACTGTCCGCAGCTGCAACTTGCAATACATCTGTCCCTGTCCGCAAGCATGGTCGCGGTGGCGGCGAGTGGCATTGTACGTGTATGGCACCTCATCAATCTCTCCCAAATACTTTCCGGTATCCCAATCCCAGATCTGGCGCTTTTCACCCGGCTTGTGTTGTCCCGCCGGCAAATGTCCTAGGGTGCCATACCTTGGAAGGAAAGAGCCGGGGAAGAGAGCATTGAAGCTGTTGGATGGAATTGCATAAGACAGTTGCTGCCTCGAACTCAATATTGATCTAATCGTCAACTGTGCTGCAAACTCCCAGAGTCCGCAGTGTAGGAGAAGAGCGTTGAGCCATCTGCAGACCTTGGCGCAGCATGGGCGCCAACACACAATGGAATCGTTCTCCCAAACATCTGTGCAGCCCGACGCACCCTTGGACACAATCAAGTTGGTGCAGCTCTGCACACACCTTCAACAACATTCGCAGCTGGGAAGGGTGTCTGCGCCGGCTTTGATGCGAATGCAAACTCAGCACGTCTTGCCTAGCCAGGCCCAACAGTCCCAGGGCCACGCTAGAAGATGGACAGCCGCGCATGCTTGTTGGAAGATACAGGAGCTGAGCAAAAGCGGCTGCTGTTGCAAACTCGAATTACAGGCATGCTTCATTCGGGAAGCAGCTTGGCAAGCGTGATCCAACTTAACCTGGGCAAGTGACCAAGTGCAGGTAGACCCATCTGGCTGCTTGGTCTTGCCCGCTTCCAGCTGCGGCCGCACCTGTCAAACAAAGTCAGGAATTTGGCCTGTCTCCCCTAGCGGTATCTGTGTCATTTACTACTGGCATCCAGAACAAGCCGGCCGAACTTCCCACATGCAGACAGACAGGCACTTCCTGGGTTGGCAGAAATGTTGAGAAGGCCACTTCCTCAGGTGACCTCTGGTTCAATTTTGCCCTGCAAAGCAGACGTGCTAAGCCCGCCAACTCAGCATTCTTGACGCTCACTGCAGACTTCCCATTCTCATATGATATGAACCTCGGCCGCAACATCAAGCCTAAAATCACTTTCCAGCCACCCCTGTCACTCGGGCCCGCAGCCAGCCGCCTAGGCGAAGCCTGAAACTTGCAATTGGCAAACCCCTTGGAGTTCAGTGCAATTCGCCCATGCCGAGTTCCATACTGCCACTGGAAGAAAGCACGTCCTCGTCAAGCGTGGCTGAGGAGTTTCTTCCAAAAAATGAGCATGGGCGTCGCAGAAGGGCCACTAGGGATTTACCCGTCTGGTTGTGTTGCTTTGAAGTTTGTCGCTTCTGCCGGCTACTCATACTGGCACAAATAAGATTCCATCTAGTTGATTTGTGAAACACAGCCATGCAAATCATCCAACGTTCCCGGCCCCACCTGATGCCATGCGTGCCTGACTGTGTGCACACGGTCCTGCCGCTGGGTTTCGCGGGACGAGACCCATGTTCTGGCGAAACACACGCACCTGGCCGCAAGCAAGAAACTGTTGGGGAGGTTGATTGGCAAAGCTGAGCACACATTAGCCACACCTTCTGGAGAACATCAGTTGAATGAGCGTGCTCAGGGACACCTTCAACCTGCGTCAGCTTGAGATCCATGTACCGCATGTGCCAGCTGGTGGATGGCAACAGCTGCCGGCCATTTGACTTAAAGCTTGTAAGCTGCGTGCGTTGCAAAAAGTGTACCTCCAAAGCAAGGATGCCAAGGCATGCCTGCTAGGAGTGACAATTGCACTTGCAGCGGAACTAGGCCGATGGCATGGTGCAGCCTCCCATGACAAGCAAGGCAGGCTGTGCGAGGTGCTTGTTTGCTGTGCCCGACTAGGGCCTCGCGCAGTCAACTCGGAGAAGAAGCTTGGAGCGGTTGTAGGAAGACATAGCCTGAGCAGATCTCAGCAATGACATGAAAACTGCACTAAACGATGCTGGTCAAATGGCCCGGATGCATGACATGTCTGGAAAATTGTTTTGGTCAACTTCCGGAGAAGTCAATACAAGACAACCATGGGCAGGGAGGGCAAAAGCCAGAGCAGGTGGCACTACAGCCCCCCCTTCCCCTCAGCATCACGGCTTGGCGTTTGAGCCGTCCAGGCTCGGTGACACCAAGACAAGATGCCGGCAAAAGCCATGGAGGCTGATCGGTCCAAAGCTAGGGCCTCTGTTGTCTTGGAGCAAACCCCAAGCTAGCGACCTGCCGCTCTGGGGTCAGCTGAGGCTACCTTCCTTCAAACGAAGCGCGAGCCATCGAGAGCTCTGCCACATCTGTTGCCCGCGCTTCTTACTTCGGCGTGCGAGCTGTGGGTGCGAGTACAGTCGGATGCACACTTGAAACATCTAAATCACTTCTTCCTTACGAGGCTGTCCACCCAAGTCTCCACCCACACGGCTCACAAGTCTGACTTTGACTCGGTGCAAAGTCGCTGAGTTGAATGGCAGCCCCTCGCTTAAAACCTGCAAAATCTGGCACGTCTAGATAACAAATTGCTTGGGATTACTCAAGGTTCTGATGGCTTGCAGTGATTGCAGGTCTCAACAAGCATCTGTTGGGGGGAGGCTTTCACAACAATTCAGCAAACTCACCTGTCCGCACAGGTGCACAAGCTGTGTAAGTAACTGTTGGCCTGAGTTGGGGGCCTCAAACTTGAGGATTGCAGCTGAAAGGACTGGAGTTTGTGAGAGTGGCCGTAATACCACACTTTGAGATTGAAAAAGAATGCTCCAACACCTTTCGTTGGCGATGTAGGACTGGTTGTCCACAACTCCTGTGCTAATTCATGGATCTTTATGATATCCTGTTATCTTGGAAACACATCCAGCATGGGTCAGAATGACAGAGAGAGCAGACTGGAGTCGAAACGAAGACCTACGTCTTGGTCCAATGCATGTGCGTTGCAGAGCCGCTGCTTGACTTCACACACTGCCCCTCACATGGAATCAGCTCAAATATGACGACCCACCATGCACAAGTGCAACCGCTCTACAACCTGGTCAGATTAAAAGAAATCGGAAAAAAGGAGCTAACTCCTGCCAGTCTGCGCATAGGCAGCTCACCTGCCCATCGCAAGGAAGACTGAGAGCTGACAGCAGGCCACACTAACAGTCACAGAGTCACAGCCAAGCCTGGAGCCGAGGTACACGGGCCGTTTGCCTAGCGGGGTCTCTTCATGCTGAGCAGATTGGCCACTGTACTGTAGATCAAGTCCACCTGTGACCACGTGTTCTGCCACGGCATCTTTTCCACTTGCCTTGTCCTCACTAGCTACCCTAGCAGCTTGAAGATACGGCCAGCTACCGGCTCTGATGAAAGAAGGCATTGTGCTGAACAACCGTTAAGTGCATGGTAGTCTTGCTCTCCTGAGAACTTCTCAACTCCTCTTTGGTCTTGGCCGTGGCCTTGAAGACCTGCGCAAACACTGGTCCTACTCGTCCTTGCTGCTGCTTTTGCATTTTGCCCTTTCAAAGCCTTCTTGGACCAACCCGCCGCACGAGTTTCCAGGACATCCTGCAAGATTGAGACAAGATGCTAGCCCACGAAAGTCCATTGACCTCGTAAGCTGACCACACAGGACTGGATCTCATATGGCCATAGCAAGCAATACCAGGACACCAAATACATCTTGAAACCACTGTCGGATCCTTGCACAAGCCAGAAGCCTGAGTGATGTGACAGCCAGTCCTGGATCATGAACTGCATCCTCTTGGAGTACCTATGGGGTTAGGGGCCATGTCACACATCGAGCCTTTGCGGCCAATGACTTTGATTCTTTGAGCAGTGCAGGCAGGCTACGCACTCTTTCCCTCGGGCATTTTGCGTGTCTTCAGGTCCTGCATGCAGCCGCAAACATACCAGACTCCAGCTCACAAATATTCACAGCGTTCTTGGTTCCCTGCCGCGCACAAAACAATACTCTGAGCATTTGTGTCCTTCAGCCTGTCGCACGCCAGCCTAAGAGCAATTTCTCCTGCTGGGAGGCTTTCCATCCTCAGAGACGTAAGTTTCTCCAAAGCTGCCGAAGTGATATGACGTAAGCAAGTCTACACACATGCAGCGAGGCTCGTGTAACCGGCAGTGAGGAGCAGCTCGCAGGCACACTCTAACGCGTGCTCATCCTTCCAGGCCGGGAGACATCAGGGTTTAGTGATATTACCCCGATCATCCAGAATCAAATGGAAAAGAAAATGGCAGATGAAAGCGCATGGAGAAACTGGTTTTTGCAGGGCATGACCACATGCACGCGTGCACACTGAGGGCAAGTCGGGCAGCGCAGCATCATCCTCAGATTCCCGAGCCAATAGTATTGCAGAAAAACACTCAGGCAGCAGGTATCATCTTGCAAAAGCTGACACTGGGATCTTGTGAGGCACTTGGCGAGAGGTCTTTTTCCAGTGTTTATCTGTACTGAGCTGGTTGTACGTCAACTAGGCGAGATTGTGGAAACGTGGCTTCTGATGCGAGCTAAGACTGCGCGGGGGAAAGCACGGGACCTTCTTGGTTCCCAAATATCTTGACCTGCGCTTCCCCTGTTTCTTTACACCTGAAAGTTCACACGCTTGTGAAATATCTCATGTTTCAACTGCAACCTTGGTTTGGGAGGGAAATTGCTTCCTGTGAAAGGACCTGTCATCAAAAGCATGGCGAAGCATTTCTTTGAACGCAACCGCTGTTTTGCCAAGCTTGCTGGGAATTCATCCCTTATCGGCCAGCTTCGTACATAAGTAGGAAATCGATAGTTCTGACCCCACCTCACATGCTACTCCGAGCCTGTATAGAAAATGCAGGCAGTGGCGTCACAATGCGCCATAAGACCTCCTGAGAGCCTTGCCAAAATACATCAATTTGATGTAGACGGTTCACAAGACAGTTTGATGTTCAGCCCAGACTCTTCGAAACACACCAATTCACAAATGACGGAGCCGACAACTTTCGTAGAGAGTAGTTGTCGCAAGAACAGGTGGCCAATAAACCTAAGAAGCAGCCAAGACTGCCGCGCTGAGCACTGCTTCAAACAGGAAGACAGGAAGCATGCAAGCACCCGTGAAATCTACCAGCTGGTGTTGGCCCCAGGCTTCATGTTTGCGCACATCCTGTCCTTTTTCTCCTTGATGAGGTGTGCCTTCAGTAGCAAGGAACTGCTTGGATGGCGCATGCTCAACTTTTGCTGCTCGTGGCCCTGCTTGCCTTCTCCTCTGCATCACAGTTAGCCTTTTCTTCTTCCGTAAGATCCTGACATGGCATTTTGGAACCATCGTCAGGGAACCATGACATGACAAAAGACATGAAAAGCGCCCACTCACACCTGACCTTGCAAAATACCAAGGTATCCAAGCAACGGAAGATGCCAAAAGCTCTTCAAATTCGTTCTGACAAATGTTAAGCACCAAACCTTACCAGAGCAGGAAACTGATTTCGGCCACGAGTCCCTCGCACAAAGCAGTGCCAAGCTGTGCTGTTGCATCTGAGGATCTTCGAAATGTCACCGGCTTGCCGCCGTCAGGACTTGGGAAGTCTGGGTAAACCGACTTCAAGCTGAAGACAAGATCAGCATACGTCTCACCTGAAAACGTCCAGAGCGCATTAGTGGTTTCCAGCAACCCCCTCTACCCACTGGCGTATGCTGCAAATTCCAGGCTGCAGCCAGGCGACAATAGTGTGGCTCAGTGACTGCTTTTCGGAAGATCAGTTCAATGATGGCCTCGAGCTGCTCCTGCCCTTCTACCTGCATCAAGGATTGCAGAAGGCAATTCATTTTTTCCGCTACCTGGATTGAATATTCCAGCCTGAACAGCGGCTATTTGCCCAACGATGGCAGCCAAATTCTCAGGGCAAACTTTGTTCAGCAGGCTCTGCACCTGCAGAAAACCAACAGTTGAAACGTTTATTTTGGGGCACCCGCACTGGACCAAGGACACATACGTAATGCAAGTCTGAGCCACACACCTTCCGTTTCAGGCTCTCTATCTCACTCTTTGGCTGCTGCCCAACGCGATACGCATTTGCTGATGGGCTCCTGCCACAAAGGATTAAGTGGTTGCCAACTGCGCAACTGAGCAATGCACAGCGATGATCAAGTGCAGTCCAAGGCTCGGCAATGCCTCGAAAGGAAAAGTCTTGGAACCACAATATACCACATCTATTCAATCTGCATGCTGACAATTCTAACCTGTTCTCAGCGAGTCAAGGTACCAAAGGAGGAGACAGGGATGCTTTCGAGCCGGCTCGATTCCTGGCTCATCCAGCTTGAAGTCAGCAAAACAAGGCTGGCTTTTGGACAGCACCGTAAGGAGTAAACTTTGTCCTTGGCTCTCTTGTGGAGGTTTGGCGCAACAATGGCTTCGCCGTGCTTTTGGACGGACATGGCTCAGACTGCTGCCGCTTGGGCATGTCCTTGTTCGGAAAAGGACACTGACTGAAGCTTGCACAGCCAAGTAGCAATTGGACGTGCAGCGCGGTCCATACTTGGAAGCATCATCTGCTTTGTTCCGAGGCCAACCATCTCAGGCGGCACGGTGTCCTCTCAGCAAAACACAGCAGCAGCCTCCGTGGCTAAATTTTGCTGCGGATGGATGGACCACGGTCCTCAGCAAGCTTCCGGAAGCTGAGAAGTTTCCGTCGGGTTACCAGCCACACCTGGACGCATTCAGACATATTGCAGTTTGTCTCCACGCTTGGCCTCAGAAGATGGAAGATGCACCTGCTGCTGTGCCCTCTCCGCTTCCTCCTCGTCCACGCAAGGCCCGGTCTCGAGAACCTGGTGGCACATAGCTGACATAGCTGCTGGAAGCATATCTAGAATCTGGAAAGGCAGGGCAACCTTGTCTGGGCTGGGCTCCCCCGAAGGCTTCAGCGAAGACTTGAGGAGGACTGTGAAGAGCGGCGACTGCAGCTCGGAGCGCTTCACGTCTACCTCAGGTGCTGAAGCTGCGTGAGCCTAGGGCCTACCGTAGGGGATGAACCATGCCCCTGTTGACGGGGCACAACTTCCAGGTTGAGAGCGCTGAATGTCGAGGTGTCAGAACGCCATCTTGCGGCGAGTTTTGCGTGTCGAGCGAGCACCTTAAGATTAGTCAGTTGGCTTCGTGTACACAATGAATTTCGGCTCCGGCCTGCTGAACAGTTGCAGGACCCGTGAAGTGCGGAAAAATGATCTTCGATCGTCTCACGGACCTTACTCGTACAGCGCAAGACCAAGGCGAACAAATGCGAACAACAGCATCCTCCGTGGTCGAGCTCAGCTTCTGACTTCCGGCTGGCAGCTTCAGGAGCTGCAGCTGCCTGCAGCAGGGCACAGAACATAGAAACCCGTGGCCCCATTGGCACAGCGCGGCAAGGCGCAGCTGGGCTTGTCATGTGCAAAAACCTATGGTCGCTTCAAATGATACCTTTCCTTTCTGTGACTTTGCTGTGACAAGACTTGCCCACCAGCCTCTTCCAGAAGCATGACTTTGGCGCAGAGGAAGAGATGCTGTGGAAATCTACGTCTGGGTCTATGACCGACCTTCTATACACTCTTGCTACTTGAGCCTGCAAAAAAACATGAAAAACATGATCCGTTCCAAAGTGTCCAAGTATCCAAGATGTAATGATTCTAATGCAATGGCAACAGCTGCTTGACGCAAGCAGCTTCAAAAAAGTCCGGAGCAGTTCGTCACTGTCGACGTGAAGCAGCCAGTCCACCCCAAGCCTCTGTGACAGGCCTTCCTGTTGCAAACATGGGAGTTTTGTGAAGGCTCCCTCTTGGGGATGCGGCTCTCTTGCTCGCTGTAATGCGTGCTCATTGTTCAGGATCTGTCGGCTTTGGACCTGCCAAATCGCTCTGGACAGCGAATGACTGCCTGAGCAATTGGAGCCTCCATGTCTGCAAAGTGCCCAACGCGTCCTGCACAAGAAGCTGGGCATCCCGGATGACTCTGCTGCAACAGCGGGAATCGAGCTGGCTGGGACAGCGACGCCAAGAGGGCATGGAACGCCACTGCTCACGGAGCTGCGCATCGACTTTCGTGAGCTCAACGAAGCCTTCCTGCACCTGCATCAAAGCTAGTTGTAAGGTGCAATAACATGCTGCGAAGCATGCGAAGTGCACCCAGCCGCTCTTCTGCAAAACCTCTGCTGTGGAATCATCGGGGTCATCGAGATACAACCTGGTTTGGGAAGCGGCTTGCGGAAGCGCTGAGCCTGTTCCAAGAGACTTGGCCACGCACAGCAAGCGGAAGAAGCCCAGCGCTGCATAGTGGCGCACGAAGCTCTCAATGATCTGGGGCAAGACTGGTGGAACCAAAGTACAGGCAAAAACTCCATTGGGAGCCGCACGCTCGCACAGTCGCGGATCTGCGAAAACAGCGCGACCTGGATTTGCCGCACCAGGAGAGGTCAAGACATGTCCAAAGCTTCATCTCAGCATGCAACGCGACCGCCCGATGGCAAAGGCTTCCGGCGTGAGACCTGGAATGCTAAATCCTAGCACAAGTCTGCGACCACAACCTGAACGACTGGACGCTGCCTCTGCGTCACTGAGCCGCTGATGCCATTTCTGCCTCTCAATCTGGCCACCTGATGTCTCTCATGTCCACGTAGCCCAGCGTTGCAGAAGATTCGCCCAGGCTCCGGCAGCTGGCCCAAAACTCTCGGCCGGCCTCTCCCATGTGCTGAAAACTCATATTGATTCTGCATTTCACCACATTCCGCGGTCGGAAGAAAGACATACCAAGGATACAAGAACAGCTGCCAGAGATCTGCAGGCTCAAAAACCACTCGATCTGCAACACAGTTGCTGCCCTTGCCCAAAGAAAGTGGATATCTAATGCGTGATGAAGGATAAGCAGGGCTGTTCTTGACACGTGGCCTGCGCTCTTGCTGCAAGATGCTCGCTGGCGCACTCCATGCCTAAAAATGGCAAGGTGGCAGACTTGCACCAAGCTGCAGCAAGATGGTCAAGCCAAACCCACTCCTGAGCGCCTGGCCATGAGATCAACCCCACCAGCATGCATTGCAGGATTGCATTGCGCAGGACAGAAAATTGTAAGTGCTTCCAGGATGCTAGACTGTGAGTTGAGTCATCTCCTGGGCAACACAATAGCCCGACTGTCGAACCTCGCCTGCCAGCATCCCCAAAGCCAAATCGAACATGCAAAGCATGTCCCAAACTCATAAGAAGAACAGGAAGTCTTGCCAAAAAAAGCGTTGGTGGCCCAGAAGGCCGCTTGGCACTTGACTTCTCTGAGTGGCGCAATTTGTGCAGGGTTCGGACGGTCAGCAGGTCTAATCGCAAGAGATCGAAACTGTGGACTGGACTCGTCTTCGCTGACTTACTGCTGCTTCCTTGCTTGCTGCGCATTCAACTCAAAGCTTGAGAACGGTCCAAAAATGTCCAAGTCATGCCCTAGATTTTTCAATGCCCAATGGGCTGCAGTCTTCAGCCAGTGAAAAGTCTGCTGCTTTGGATGCTGACTCAGACCGTTTTTTTGCACTGCTGCTGCTGCTGCTGGGCTGAAGCACTCCTGTCAAGGTGGAGGCGGTATCGAGCCTCTGGAACCTGCCAGGCAACCAAATACCGTTTCAGCCTCAGAAGACGCTCTTCTGCAGGAACATCTAAATCTGTCCATCGCCTGGCACGCTGGAGCCAAAATGACAAGCACCAAGCTGCAGGCTTCTCTCCTTCGCACACTAGCTAGGCACTAGGCCTGTAGTCGTAGAGGAAGGTCTTCTTGTACAAGACTTCAAGAGGGTCCCATACTCGCAGCGGATGACAGTAGAACAGGCCGTACCTCAACAGGGCTTTAAAAAAGCACGACAAATGTCATGGATCAACGCAACCAGCAACATGAAGTGCCGTCCAAACTGCCATACATCCTCCGCGCTTCGTTTGGCTAGCCAGCTAGGCGCATCGATTACATGCCGCAGGGCAAAAGTTGCATCGTGAAAGTGGAAGTAAACCTCAGCACATCTCAGCACTTGAATGTGCTCATTTGCCCAACGCCTTCCCATGTCTGGCTACCCTCGAGAGCAAGTCTGCGAGAGCACGCCATCCCACCTCCAAAGCGCCCTAGAAGGCATCCTTGAAGGGAAAACATGTAAGCCTCCTGGGAGAGGAGCAAGAAACTCGAATGCACAAAAGAAAGGAAAACCTCAACGATTCACTGAATCTGTAGCGAGAGCATGGTCTGCAGCTCCCGAGTGAAGCAGATCGAGGTCCAAAAGGGTTGTTATTGTTCCGACGTGCCAGGCGGCAGCAGCAGCAGCAGCAGCAGCAGTCACTGAGCACAGTTGAGAGAGGGGGGGGCGCTGTTACGCTGCTTGGCTTAGAACTGACAAGGTCGCGATCGCATCAACCACCCGCACATCTGTCATCCCTTCCCCGGAACCTTGCGAGGCCCTCGACGCAAGCGTTGGATCGAGATTGGAGGGAAAGCAAGATGAAGTGCATCAAAGTTGCCAGATGATACCCAAATTCATCTAGCAACTCCTCGAAGGCTGAAAGCGAACAGTGAAGCATGTGTCCAGGACGGCCCTCAGAGCTACCTTGCTGCGCATTGCAGAGTTCAGCTCTCCGAGACTTGGCTCAAGTTTTGCTTATGTACTGCCAAGCAAAGCATTACTAAATGTGCAGGCGAACTCAGCGATTCCATGGAGTCTCCAATACCGGGTTCAAAGGATGTTGGCCTGGCAATATGCACAACTCCTTCCTCAAGCTGGCTTGAAGCATGCCCGGCCTGTATACGAAAGGTGGAGGAACTAATGGGTGCACTTCAACATGAATGAGTAGAGGTCGCAACCCTGCGTTCAGTATCTCTTCCACAAAGCAGCAGTCGCAGTTATCCACATCCACCTTTCCAAGCAACATGCAGACCAATACACATGAGGAGCCTGAGTTGTCAACTGATCTGGAAAGAGCCCGGCTACCTTGAGCCAGTGCGGAGATGATTTTGGATCAAGTCGATTTCGGAATTGCAGGATGCTGCTCGTCGCCATACTTGGATTCACGAACCCCAAGTGCAGCTGCACATCCTCAGCTGACTGAACCGCCATGCAAACATCTCCCCAAACATGGAAGCCGTGACCCTCTGCACTTCAGTTTAGGATCTGTCCGATTATCAAATAGGCGATGCAACTCGAAGAGGTGCTTGTCACTCCCTTCAAAGACCAGGCCTCCAAATCCTGTAGCTGCAGGCAGAAGCTTTGTTTCACAGAGAGGCTTCCCCCACTTCAGCTGAGGCCACCTTCTTGAAGCAGGCAGTTTGAAGGATCCGCCATGCCGAAGACTCCGCGCATCAAATTATCTTGTCTCACGACATCTTGTCCACAGGATCCGTCACCAGCGCCCAGGTTCACGACCCACCGCTCTTGCCAATCCTGAGCTATGATCATCGTGATCATTTGTCAAAGCTGCTAGGACTGTGCTGCCCTGGCTCTGGCGGTAACTGGCTGGGAAGTGCAGGCCTCTCAAAAGACTCATACCTTGCGTCGCTCAAAATCTGATTACAGCAGCCAGAAACACTTGAAATCATCCCATGCGTGATTCAGCCCGTGAGCTCTGGAAGCCGAGAGTCCACTTGGGCAAGTCCTTCCGGTTACAAACCTCAAAGCTGTGGGAAGCTGGGGAGGTCCACCTGAGCTTATTGCACCATTCGCGCGTGCAAGGTCTTCTGCATTGCGGTGCATTCCTGTCGAAGCAATGGAACAACGAGCTCCCAGCCGTGGAATCCAGAATGGCGTCAACCCCTTTGCATTTGCGCGGGTCGAGTCTGCAAACAAGTTGGATGCTGGGATGATTGCCTCAACGTGCCCACAGAACATGGCATGCCAATCGCAGGGAGCTTTCGCTGACCCAACACGATCATTGCATTGCCACATGCCTGCCGGCGCAAGATATCGTGCGATCTGAAGGTGGTCGCTTCTTCAGTCATGTAGCCTTATGCAGACTCCACCCCAGATACCGAACAGCTGCTCATGAAAAGTCGGGCGTTCTTCTTTGCTCTCAGATTCTTTGCGGCCACGGCACATGGGTGGTTCAGTTTGCGGAGATCATCTTCGCTCTTAAGGAACTCCATTCCAAGCTGCTTCGCGGCCTGCTGCATGCCGGCCTCGAATACTTTTTTCAAAGCCTAACCGTCCAGACACTTACTAGCACCTTTGACTGCCCACTTCTTTAAGTGCAAACATCTGGGTCACCCTCACACATCTCTGACCCACGCCCAAAAAGGGCCCAACGCAGAGTTAAGGTGAGAAGCATCGAGCTCAAAAACTTTGTTGACCTCCTGCATTGAGGCAAGGCTTTGATGGATTCATGACAATGTCCAGGCTTGCTGTGGTCGGGCGCTCCAAGATGCAATCTAGCTGGCCTCTGTGAAGGCCCAGCACACTGGCACCACTGTCGCTGCTTCCTCGTGGTAGCCACCGGGAAAGCAGGACCTGAAGACCGCAAAACACTCCTTGGCAGGGCAGCTTTCGGATTAGACAGTTCAGAGCAATGACTTGGAACACCCAAATGCTGCTTAGTCTCCAAGTGGAACATCGTTTCAAATAATTTTCCCCAGGCTTCCCAGCGCTCTGGAGCGTAGTAGCGCGTCGCTGCACGCCAGAGAGTGTTGCTCGAGAAAACTGCTTCCTGGGGCGAGTAGATCTGCCATCATACTTCAGAACTGGCAAAACCTCCGGCCAAGAAGATCAATGAACCCTGTTAGATGTCGCGATCCCAACTGTCATCGCTTTTGGTGTGTTGCGCAGCTCTCGCATTGTGAGGTAATTCACCATGGCTCGGCTTGAGATGGTAAGTGTGGCCGGTAAAGGGTTCACAGATCTGCTGAACAGGCGAGACGCACATGAAAACTTTAGCCGCTCATGATACTCATGGGCAAAGCGCAGGTGCTGTCACCACCTAGACGCAAATGATCTTGCATGACTAGCTGGGCTGGGCACACAAATCTTCAAGCTTATCTCGGCTGCTCCCACATAAGAAGGATACGCACGCTGACATGACGGAGCAGTCCTGCAACAGTGCTCCATAACGTTGCCGCGAGGCTTCCAGGGAGCAGTAGCCTGTGTCATGCGTTGACGAGATGGATCTGTCGACGGCTTCGTCCTCCTCAAGTATTCGCTCGTCACTGCTCATGCTCGGGACACACAACATCAAAGCAAGCCAGCCATGGTCAGCTGAACAACCACCACCTCCGGTTAAATGGTCAAGCTTCATCCACTATATCTGGAAACTGCATAGGACCCATCTGATCCGGCTGACTGGCATTCTGCTAAAAATTTGGCGCAAGACCCCCAGTCGTGCGCAGACTAAATTTCCCCAACCTCCCTGCAGCCGTATTGGGCATCATCACCCCACTCAGATTCCTGCAACTAGTTGCCTTCTTTGGCTGAAAATGCCTTCCCCACAACAAAACAAAATCCTTGCCACAGCGCATGTCAAAGCAAGTTGCGCCAAACTCATACGGTGGGCAGAATGGTCTGTGGGAAGCTCCAGCTGCCACAGTTGCTACAGCTACAGAAAACAGCGGCAGACGCGCCATGACAACATCTCCGACATGCAAGCTGAAGCATGCTAAGCCAGCTCGAGCCTGTCAACTGCTGCCGTACTCAAAAGTTCTGAACTTGTCCACTGCAGCTGTCATGGCAACTGACAAGCAAAATTGGCCACTTTGCCGCGCGAGCATTCTCAGTTGGGACCTTATCCGTTTGGATAAGCTCATGGTCATAGTTTGGTCATGGGCAGTCACACTGTGAAGTCCAAGAGGTTTGCATAATCGTATTCATAGTCTGCATCCTGTCAGAAAGCACATTAAGAGATGACACGACAAAATGAATGTACGTGTGTTTCATCTTTTCTGCCAAGCGTCTGGCACTACCTCCACTTGTTGTGACTCAACTCTGGGCAGGTTGACATATGCATGAGTTCCATATCCAGGCAAGGACACCAAGTCCAGTGAACCGCCAAGGTATCTCGCATACAACCGCGAAAGAGGAAGACCTGCGAAATGGAGGTGGCAACACGACGTGAACGTCAACCCTATGGTGCGATAGGTTGCAGGCGTGTCCCGCCTACACCATGGCCAGCCAACTTCTTGGAGCCATCATACGCGCCATCTCTGGCAGTCGTATACAAATATGACCATGCGTTGGCTCCGCGTGGAATGCCTCCAGCTTGGTCAGCCACGCAAATTGTGACATGGTCTTCATCCGCACAAATGATGACGTTGATGGGGAAGTCGGCAGGGTCAAAGTCGTGAGCTTTCAACATATCTGCAGTCGCTCTGCAGCTGTTCTTCAGCAGCTCACTGACAATGTACTGCAGAACATGTGGCATGTAAGGAAAGCGGGGAACATGGCCATCGTCCACACCCTTGCCCCCACAGGCCGAAAACGCGTCAATGAACACACTCGGCCGGCTACCTGTGCATTCCATGCACATCTCCAGCACAGCCTGGCACAGGGAAAACTAGTGCGGGAACGTTTATGCAACATGTCGAAGGTTGACCCTCAACATGTCCTTTGCCGCCACACGGCACACCCGTTTTGTATCACAGCGGGTATCGATGATTCCATTCCTGATGCTGCAAATTGTTTTCAGCGTTGACACTGTGAATGCTAAACACCTATTATCTAAAAATGGAAGGTGCTGAAAAAAGAAAACAAAATCTGAACGCGTCCCACATGTCCCGCCATTCACACAATAGGCTGTAGGCTATCGGCAACAATCCTGAAATTTTGCCTGGCATCCGCTGACCTGCACGGCAAGCCAAGTAATGGCCCAGCAGAACTTGACAGCCAATGCGATTCAACAAAAAGTCATCCAGGAACTTGCTCCTGAAGGTCAGTTGCAAGCTGCAATCACCACACAACCAATGAACTGAAACATCCCGTTGCCATCTGCCAGCCATGGAACACGTATTCGTGAGTGATGCCGCCGTCATGTAGCAAGTGCACAGATCTGGCCATCTTCTCTACCACAGGCTGCTCCCTCAGTAACGCCTGGCAGCTGACGGTGTTTTCACGCTAAACAAATAAAAGCAATGCCCTTCAAGCCTTGTGTGTGACATCCGCGAACTTTTCCAGCTCTGAGCTGCGAAAAGCTTTGAAAGATTTGACATGGATGTCATGCACCTCGACCAACTCTGGAATACTTTGCCAAGAAGGCACCTGTGTAACAGATCGATTTTATGACGTCTGTCTCGATGTACAACTTCCTAACAATTTACAACGTTACATTGGTGCGTGCTCTACGAATGCCAAGTGCCTTCTCTAAAGCGCGGATGCGTTCAGCATAACGGATCGGCATCTCCGTTTGCAAGAATTCAGCTATTTGACGAGGCTCCAATGTCGTGGTCAAATATTCCACACTCCTCAGTATTATAACACTTGAAACAAAGCGTTCACGTGTTCATGCTCCCGCAAATGTTCGCCTGGCCTGGGATGTGGCTCCAAGGCGGCGAACGAAGCGATGTCATCGGGACTGCCAATTTCCACCTGGACATCTCACGCCGGAAAACTTTGGGCGACCAGAAGTGGCCGTAACTCTGTTTGACAAAGTGGCATGAGTGGCCATCTTCTTCAAGCATGCACCCCGCAGCAGGAACAACCCAGGTTTCAAGCGGAGGCGACCACACGCGCTGCCACATAGCTGTGTAATCGTAAGCGTGCTCATCTTTCAGCAAAATGTTCATCTGCCATCGCAACCACATTGGCCAAACGGGCCACGAGCTTCATACGGCAGGCCATGCTGCGAGCAGGAGTGATGGCATGGTCCAACGGGCCAAATGGCTCGCATCGCATGTCTTGATTTGTGGTTCGCTGGTGCCCACGGGCTTCTGCAGTCTCCAGCAACGTCCGCCAGCTAAGCATGACAATTTGGCAAAAAATCCAAAAAGCCAAAACATGCGTCTTGCCGTTTGGCTGAAGCATCGATCTGAAGGGGTTCTGCTTGGGTTCTTTCGTTCAAAATGGAATGCCGTAACGTCCCCATCCCAATTTTCACCGTCATGAGTCATTGACATCGTCATCTTCCTTCATCGCCATCCGCATCCTTCCCCTCAAGATGCCAAGTGCTGCCTTCAAGCCCGTGTGTTTCCCGTAGCAACTACACCTCCGGGATTCCGGGATGGGGATGACCTCCAGTAGACACACTACTCCCCTCCAAGCCTTTATGTTATCCTTCGCACCTGTCCTGGATTTAGCTGACGCTACAGCCGTTCCAATTTCCTGAGTGCTTGCATAAGAGCTTGAAGTTGAAACCACCATTCCAGACCGTGGACGGCGTCCCCATCTCAGAATCGGGGAGATGTAGATGCAAAGGGAAATACAAGCGTTGTAAGGTGAGGAAGTGTCTAGCCGGAAAAAGCAAACAGCGGCGTTCTCCGCATTAGGGGGTGTCAGGGTCTCCGTCGAGCCGTGCTGTAAGACTCCCATTTGAGGGTGTTCAGGGAATGAAAATGCGGGTCTGCGTTAGGGGTGCCAGGTGTGTCTTGCGCCTCTGTGAGACACAAGCCTAGCCTGTTGCTGCCAGACCCAGCAGGCACGACAGGACAGAAGAGCCAAGAATGTTGAAGCTCAGTGAATTATGAACAAGTTCAGGACTCACGAGATATTGAAGGGTTTTCCCTCAAACGTTCTCTGTTTACTGCCGGGGCTAGTCCGTTCCTACTTACAGAGAACCCCGCAGAGGCTTCTTTTTCACGAGTGGCAGCAAGTCCAAGGTTCTGTCAGAGTGCAGAACAGAGGACAGAGCAGACTGCGTGCTCGACTCCAGGCTGGGAGCACAACGGTCACGCACGATGGGGTGGGCATTAATCCAAGGAGACGGATCAAAATTGACCCAGCGGGACCCACCCCAAAATCCATTCAAAGAAGCGCAGGAATGAACGGCATAAGGCCGACCTCCAAAGGAGCGACATGAAGCTTGAAAAGGATACAAAACTCCGTCCAAGGAGGAGCAACCCTGTCAGCTTCAGAGGAGCCCAAAGAAACAGGGTCTTCGGAACGATTCAGGCCATGCGCAACGTCGTAAAGGAAGCCAGGTACATGCTCGATGTGAGCAAAGATGCAACATCTGCGATGCAAATCACAAAAATGAAGAAGCACAGTACAAAGACCTCTCGCCAACGAGAGTCCCTTCCAGGGGGAGGCTTCAGAAGCAGAGCGCTGCAATGAAACTCTGAGGAGAATCATCGCGGGACATGAATGAACAGAGCTGGCATGGAGTAGCCTTAGTACCCCTAGGCCAGCGGAAACACTGTCAGAGATCACGCCTCGTGTGTAGACTAGACACATGGGTACAAACGATGCGGGCTGTTGCGCATCGAGATCTGTACGAGCTACGGCTACGGAACTGCAAAGCAAAATTGTGCAGCCTTTTTCTTCCACCATTTTTGTGGGAGAGAGATGGCATCACCTAGTTCATAAGAACCATCCAGCATCGCTACGGCAAAATTTGCCACCGATACGCTCCAGGTAGCTGTTGGCCTCCCCCCTCCGCTTTCCACGGGGGAGCTTTTGGTGCATTGTCTGGCCTCGGAAACACATGTTCGCATGACGTCATCCGAAAGCAAGTTTGCAATCCTGTGCAGGAGCGTCAGATGTCTATACAAAAGTACTGCTGAAAATTTGTGCGTCTTTGCTCGCAACAAAACATCTGTATTGGGAACACGGCTGTACAGAGAATGAAGAGTAAGGTGCTTGGAAGGCATCCAACTTGCCAAGCTCAGTTTTCTTCAGCCAGGCGGTGTGCAAACCATACATCAACGGAGACGCGACGCATGCTGGCTCAAGGGCCATTTCGGCTCAAGCGGGAGTTTCGGGGAATAATGCATCTAGCCCTTCCCGTCGTGAAGACATTCCAGCTCTGCACGTGTAGCTTGCAAACATGGCCGCGATGACTCCTGAACAGGGTCTGAGCGAAGTGCGCGAGCGCTCACCTTTCCCGAACAATCCATGGCGGAAAACGGAGGAGGCCAAGAGGCAACGCTTAGAAGAAGCCGCTGCTACTCCTGCTACGCCGTTGCTGCCAAAGACTGCTCACATTCCTCCAGGGTACCAGCGGATGCCAAATGATGATGGTGAGAAGCTTGATGATGAAATGGTGGCGCCCACGGAATCCATGGAAGTTTCGATGTCTGGTATTGCTTCGCTGTTACGACGGGAGATGCAGCCTATGACAAATTCCATGAGTGAGCTGACTCACAATTTTCGCAAGCTTGACACTAAATTTGGTGATTTCAAAATTGCCGTGGAGGAACGTTTGCAGCAATTGGGAGTTCTTTTGGGGGGTACCGAGATGCGAGTCAACAAGTTGGAGGAACTTTATCACCAGCTACATACAACGCCGCAAAGCATGCATGAGGCAGTCCGTAAAAAGGTGGAACTACAGATGCTACTTGTTGGTTTTCTTGAGTATTGAATCCATGTTGTCGGTGTAGCATCTTGGTGTATGATGGGACACATTTTCAGTTTCAGCTAACAGTACTCACAATCATATTGTTAGCAGTGGCTGTAGGAGGATGACTGGCACTGCGTCCAGCAACAACAGACAATGCGCAATTAAATACAATAGCTGCAACGGTGATCGACTCCAGCAAGCACATGTGATCACAGAGTACCTTGGCAGTTATGTTTTCCGAACGCCTTGTAGACCTAGGCGCTAGCTGTTGCACTCAGCGCAGAGGTTCGATGCTCAGAGCTGGGAACAGGTGCCTCTGATACACAGCATAGCATGTTTGGAAAAGTGGCCTTTCTTGGACATGCCTTCAATATCTAATGGAGAAGCAGAC